GGAGGTCCCTTCCACATGTACCATGAAATTCCTCTCTTTAGAGAAATAAAAGAAATAAAAATATCTCCATCAAAAGGACATTACCAAGAATCAGGAAGATGGGGGAGGGCTTTACTGAAAAGCAGAAATGGATTTTTAGTGTAGATGCTGCCACAAAGTCACTTTCTCTCCTCTTAGTTTGTCTTCTCATTTGAAAAAGTGAGGAAGACGACTTTTCCCTCTCTGATTCTCTAAAACTTTCAAGACTCTAAGACTTTCCTGGGTGACACTGAAGAAAAGCAAAGAATGTCAAAAAAACTCCGTATTTACTTTCACTTTTTCAATCCATATCCTTTGTGAGATCACAAGGCTACTTTGGGATACTGCATGGTTTAGGGAAAGCTGCCAGCATCCAGAAAGCAACCAGATTTTAGACATTCTGACCAACCCCACATTAACATTTGGATCTTGTGAAAAATCATTCACCTTAGAATTCTAATAAATCATCAACTAGCAGCACTTAGCATTTGTAAACAGTGATCTTCCTGTACTTTCAGGACTGCCCTGAATCACTTGTTACTCATCCAGAGGCAAGCACATCCAGTCCTGCAGAGACCCTTCCTTGAAAAGAAAAGAAACAGAGCCTCCAACTCCAGAGAGCTCTGATGCTTTCAAAAGGGCGAAGGAAGCTACATGTACTGAGTGGACAGGAGCCCAGCACTATGGTGGATGCTTTAACACATCATCACATTTAATCCTCGTGCCCGGTCAGCAGTTATTTCTCCATTCTCCTAATGAGGAGATGTTCAGAGAAGTCAGGTGTATTCATTTGTTCAATGTGTGTTAAGTACCTCCTCCTAACAACTCCTTGTTAACAACTCAGAATACAATGGTCCCTGCCGTCATGGAGCTTAGAGTCTAGTAGGAAGGAGAATTCTTCAAACACTCCTTTAAAAAAGGCACAAACGAGAGGTTTGTGGTCTCATGAGAACAAAAGTGACTAGACAAGTGCAGTGGTGACGATAGATACAGGGAGAAGTGGAGCTGCCCACGGCCACACAGCCAGTAAGCCAGCAGTGCTGAGACTGGACCGTGGCCTATCTGACTTCAAAGCCCACATTTCTCTCTCCCTTGTCGTTTATTCACTCATTTGGCAATTAGCTGATCACCTACTATGTGCCAAGTGCTAGGGACATAGCCATGAACAGATACTGCTCTCCTGTAATTTACAGTCTACACCGTAAACAAATGAGACTTCAAACAGATGTACACAATTACAAATTGGGATGAGGACTGTGAAGGATCAATTTTAATATGGAAATTACCTATAAAGCCATAGAGATCTTCCAGTGTTTTGACAGTCTGGAAACGTCACTTGCCTATTGAGCGTGAGTGAAAGGCTTTAGGAAACACGGCCTGTCAGACTAGGATACTAAGTATCACATCACCGGCCAGCTCCTGAGCCCCAAAACTCACATGTCTCAAACTTGGCAAAGTCCCTGCTGAAATACAAGTCTCTCCAAAGGTAACTACTGACTCCTGAATTTACTTTTACCTAGCCCGACCTCAGAAGAACATCACTTATGCATACATTTTAGTTAGTTGGAATCATTCCCACAGATTCATTCCTTTGAACCTCACAACGGCTCTTTGCAGAACACAGCTAGGTTTTAATATTCTACTTAAGAGACGAGGAAATTGAGGCCTAGACAGGTGAAGAGACTCAGTGAAGGTCACTGGACCAGGAAAACACCCAGACCTGCCACCTAACTCTCACTACAAATGCCTCTGGTCAGGAAATCATGAATCTCAAATGAGACCGCTACAGGTTACTGAGCCTGAATAAAGTCACCCAGGAGTCCCATGAAGTTTCTGAGAACAATGATCAGGAACATTAAGCAGCTTGGGAAAGGTCTCCAGAATGCAGCTGCACAGCCTGAGACACAGGTACCCTTGCCAGCTCTCCCAGATTAGAACAGGTTCTCTTGGACTCTTTCCAAGCGCCTCTGACTAACACAGAAAAGTATTTTTCCACTGCAAACACTGCAGGCAGGCACCAGACTCCTGAGAGGGGACAGAGGAGAACAATCCCAGGTTCCCATAAAGATAATGAGTAAACTTCTTCTGATACCATAAGAAGCCCCAAGCAGAGCACCTACCACTGAGGATGCCAGTCTTGGCAACATCCTCGGCTGACAGTCCAGACACTTGGGGCTGGATAATGTTGGGGGTGGGGGTGCTGTAGGATGTTTAGCAGCATTCCTGGCCTCTCCCTACTAGATACCAGTAACACCCACCAGTGTAAGAACCACAGATGTCTCTGGCCACTCAGATATCCCCTAGGGGACAAAATCAGCTCTGGTTGAGAAACACTGGTCTAGAGACTATGGAAAAGCAGAAAAGCAAAGTGTTCTCCCTTTCTCTCACCCTATCCCATCCCATCTGTCTGGCCAGATATAGAGTTACAATGATCAATACCAATGTGATAATTTATATTTTAATCAACATCACAGAACTAATGCCTTCCAGATAAGATTGAGAGCCTCTGGGCTGCTGTAGCCTACAAGTACTATATATCCCAGGAACCATTTACCACTGGAGCTGGTGAAAACAACTAGAGTCGAATAACTCCTTGTTCCACTAATGAACTGCTTCCGACCCTGTGCGGAAACCTTGTTTCTGTTATGTGAGCAGCGGAGTCTGATTAAATGGAAGCCCTGGGTGTTTCTTCTCAATGACATCAGGGCAGGGCCAGGGCTTCCACTGCTGCTAGAAAGAACACAAAACTGGTGAATCAGATAGCTGGAGACTCCCATTTACCCGCAATTCAGTTCAACCAGGATACTCAAACATCCCAGCTTTAACCATTCTGGATTTCAGAGAAAGGGGAAAGTGGAAATGTACATAAACAAGCGGTCTGAATTAACAAGTTAATTAAACAGCTGAAATGTTTCCCCAAAACCATGCTTTTGAGTGGAGGTGGAAACCGAAAGCCAAGCTCCAAAGCAGCTGGAGTGACTCAATGTCAGGGATGTGGGTTCCAACCTTCCACCCTGAGGGCTGGGCAACTGGCCCAGACATGAGGATCAACATTGGTTACAACGCTTCAAAGAAGCAACAGTTTTCTGTCTCTCACAACTAGTTAAAGAGTTACTGACAGACTCAGCCAAACTCACTAACATTTGGTAGTAAGTGTATTTTACTGCACTGCAGTTCTCTGGAGACTGACTAACCATGAAACGCCTACCTACTGGCACCTAATTACTCAGACAACTGCTAGTTTTTATGCTACTTTTCTTTTTGTACTTAGCTCTATTGTTCACAGCTCATACTTGATTGTGCTGAAATTGGATTACAGGTCTGTCTCCCCTAGAGGACTCTTCAAGGGCAAGATTTACAGCTGGTACAAGGCATGGTGCATATACAGACCATCATCATTTGTAGGATAGATGGGTGGGTGGGTGGGTGGATGGATGGGTAGAAAAGTTTTCTGTCTCTACTTTCTTAGTCTTAAGTCTATCATCATTTTTTAGTGAGAAGGCCCATGTCTTGTGTCCTCCATTTCTCCAAGGTTTATGAGCACACTGATCAATGATGCCCAATAAATGTTAACTGATTTGGCTAGATTCCTGAATCCAAAGCCTTCTGTTCATGAACCGGTGAGTCTCAGAAAATAAGTCACAAATCCTACCTGTCTATTGTGCCTTATATGCATGATTTAATCCCTTTTAACTACAAACAATTTGAGATAGGAAAATTAGTATATTCTCTGAGAGACGATGAGACACAGAAACAAACAAGACCAATATGGTGGTTTCGCTCACAAAGCTTATTGTCTGGAGGAAAAACACACAGCTATCAACAACTATGCTCTGTGAGTCACTTTCAGAAAAGTCCTTGCACATGGGCCCAATCTCTAGAACATCTTCTGTGAACACCTTTGGGGAAAGACATTCTTTCCTCCAAACTAATGACACATTTTCCTTATTCCATGCTCCACAGTGGTGATGTGGCAATGACATTACACATCTTTGTCATATAGGCCTCTGTTTCAGAATGTCAGTACAATTTTTTAAAAGATCAATTAAAAACATCACACACTTGAATGCTCACAAGTCTACGCTGGCATGTGCAAATATGTACTGTGTGTGGCTTACCAAAGAGGACTGAAGCTCCCTGAAAACCTGCAAAAGCCAGAAACTCCTGGAACAACAGTCACCAGGTATCTGGCATCTAGAGACAGGTGTAAAGCTGGCAAGCAGGATAAGAGCAAGGCCAGGGGACCCCTGAGAACCCCTGGAGTTCAGAAGGCCTTGGCATGACAACAGACCTTAAGATCTGTCTAAGGGACTGTCCCTGTCTAAGGGACTCCACATAAGGCAGCAGGAGCTCTTAGACATCAGGGATGAAGAGAGGCCATGAACAAAACTGGAGAACAGGGATGTGAAGGCTGGGAAAGAACTGCCCTAAGGGAAAGAAGAGAAACAGATGAAGACTCAGGAAACATGAAGATCCCAAAAGCCACATGACATGACATGGCAGCATCTGAGTGAATATGAGAGGTGCCAATCACGGTACATCATTTATTAGGGCCAATAAAAATTTAAATCAGATTATCGTGCCAGCTATGATTCAAAATAACGCTCCTGTCCCAATTGTGAAATCCACCCTTAGCTTAACATTTTCTGATGCTTCTAATTTAGGCTCAAATGGAAACAGCATCATGTCCTGGGCACAAGCAGACAAGAACTCCCCAACAATCTAGACAAGTTTCTGGTGATGGTGCAACACGCTCCTTCTCAAAGCCTCGTGGCCTCTTAGGGCCAGAAGGAGCCAACTTCACCCAGCCTTGCCTTTCGGGTGCAAACATAACCGGCTGAGAGCAGACTGAGACCCTAGATCTTCTCCCTTCTAGGCCTCACAGCTTTTCACCAATACAAATTCTTACCTCCCAGGATGTTAAGAGGACAGCTGTCCCTGGATTGCTCTTATGAACCCCACATGCTCTGTTGTGCTCTCACCTGTCTGAGCAACCAGGTGGGTCCACCCACTCCAGGCGGCAGTGACCTTTTCACTCTGAAAACAGTGCACTTCTATTTTGTGGGGCACAGGAAGGAAAGCAGCCTGGGTAGTTAGTTGTCCGTGCTTGTTACCGCCCCAAACATATAGTTCTCCTGCGTCTTAAACAAACAGAAGGAAACAAGAGGTGAAGGAACATTATTAGTCCAAACTGATTAAAAACATACACGTCTGAAAAGAAGTGGTTACAAGAAATTGTTTTATACTTATGGTACAATGCTTAATGGGGCCAAGCAGAACAAAAAAATCACGTATAACATAATAAAATACAAGATTTATAAAAATTCAAAACATAGGAAACAAGACCAAATTTTCTTAATAGTTTAAGGAATAAGAATTTATAACATTTTATCTTCTACATTTTTAAAATATATGCCTATGTTACAGTTTAGACTTAAAATGTCTCTTAATTTTGTCTCATGCGCAGAGGTGCAGCTTTTGCAAGGTGACTGGGTCATGAGGGCTCTAATTTCATCAGTGGATTAACCCACCGACAGATTTCTATTTCAACTGCATTACTAGGAGGTGATGAAGACTCAGGAGGCGGGCCCTAGTTGAAGGGAGTGGGTCATTGGGGTCTGACCTTCAGGACTATATTAGGTCTCTGCACCCTGCTGTCCAACTCTTTCACCCTCTCCACTTCCTGGCTGCCATGAGGTGAGCAGCTTTCCTCCACCATGTCCTTCCACCATGATGCTTCTGCCTTGGAGCCAGTCAACCATGAACTGAAACCTTTGCAACTGTGAACCAAAATAGATTACTTCTTCCTTTAAATTGTCTATGTCAGGTATTGTGTCCCAGCAACAGAACATTACCTTTTGTTAGGAAAAAAAATGTTTTGACATTTTAAAATAACAGGTTAAAAGATAAACTATTTTAGCTTAAACTTTTGAAACATAAGATTATTTTGCAGTATGCCCAGGCCAGCAAAAAATATAATGCTACCACATCACAGCTGTGTAGCACTTTGACTCATTTCAGCCTCACAATAAGCCTATGATATAAGCAGAAATGACTGATATTGTGATTTAATAGAAGAGGAAAAAAAAGCAAATTCAGAATCAAGTGACTCTGGCTTCTATTCCTGGATCTGCTAACTAGCTATTGACCTTGGACAAATCACTTCCTCTCTAAGCTTCAGTTTCTCCAGCTAAATACTGGAGGGGAAGGCAGTTGGTCTAGGGGGCAGACAATAGGACTGATGACACTGGTGACGAGAGCAATTGGTGAGCAGTTGTGGCACACACCTGTCTAAAAGGCATTCAAAGGCAAGTATGTTTTTTTAGATGAGAGCCAAACAATATGAAGCCATAGCTATAATTTCGCCTGTGGGTTATCAGTTTGTAACCCCTTGGAATCGTTCATTAACCTTCCAAATTCTAACATTCTAAACTTCTGCTGTACTGACCAATACAGTAGTCACTAGCCACAGGTGCCTTCTCAACAGCTGAAATATGGCTAGCCCAAAATGAGATGTGTTACAAGTGAAAAATACACAATGGATTGCAAAGGCAGTACAGAAAAAAACTGTAACTCATTAAGGATTATATGTTGAAATATATTTTGGATATATTGAGTCAAGTAAAATATAATATTTAAATAATATTTTAAAATGTTAAAAGTTGTCAAATGCAACTTTACATGGAAGAATGCATCCTGCCATTAATTTATTTATGTTACATACACAGCTGAATTTCCTCATAAACACTTGTTTCTTTTTAGTTTTTGAATTGTAGCTTATATTTTATTTCTGTCAGATGACACCGATCTAGAAGATAAATGAATCAAGGCTGGAAGAGGTGACGTGCCTTTTCAAGATCACATGGCTTAAAAAGGATCCACGGCTAATTAGGGGACTAGAAGCCAGGTCTTCCACTTCTACTACATTTTGTGTCCTTAAAATAAAACTTCAGTACGGTATTGTTTACCCTAGGGCAATCTGGCATATTCCCAAAAACTGATCAAAAGCCAAGTCAGTAACAGCAAAGGACATGAGACCAGGGTTCAGGAGTCCCATGTTCAAATCTCATCTGCTGCTCACTGTTTGACCTCCAGGCACATCACTCCACATTCCAGACCTCTGCCGCCTCAACTCGAGAATGAGCATCAGGGAAGCTTCTCACCACCCAGACAACCCTGCAGTACTGACCTCCTGTAGTTCTACAAAGTAAATTTGGTCCATTTCATTCTCAGGGAAAAGGCAATCTTCCTGGAGTTTATCAGGGTGTGCAAAACATAAAGATCCCTTATAAGGAGGCCAAAAAGCCCCCTCAGCAAAATATCGATCGACTACGTGGACTGAAGAGCTACAGAGATGCTCTGATGAAGAAGGTTGTGCATGGAATAGGCCTTCATTTATCTTAGTGCATCTAAACCATCATTTTGAAAGACAAACTGTCTTCCACATGAGGATCATTACACTGTTGCGTCAGCATGTAAAATTAAATTCTGCTGCAATGCCAAATACTTACATAATCTACAAGGACTCTAGAGAAAAGGTCTAAAGAGCACTGAGTAAAATCCAATATGTTCACAGCTTGAACTAGACAAATAAGAGAGCTATTAATCTTGACGATTTTTAAATCACTTTCAAAATATCAAAAACCTATTCATATTATGAATATATTAAAAATGACTAAATGGACACTTTAAAATGGTGAGTTTCATGAATTACATCTCAATGAAAATTCTGAAATCTGTGTATTAAAAAATACAAAAAAAGTGCCCACCTATGAAGCATAACTTTACCAACAGCAAGATTTTTTTAAGAAAGTGACATCAGTGAGCAATTAGGCAATTTCTAAGTTTACATAATGGCAGCTGATTCCAATGAATTAGAACAAAGAAGAAGAACTTCTTCTTTTCTCCTCACTCTCAGAAAGAATATCCTCAGTGTCTGCAGGCATGAACAGTCACTCTCCCTCTCAAGTCTCCAGTCCTGCCTCTGTCAAAGGAGAAGGGGGACCAGGCACCCGGGCAATCGCTTACAGCTGGCATTCATTTCAACACAACATTTTTAACAAACATATTAACGCACCCATGTGAGACATAGGTTAAAAGTAGGTGTTCCTTTTGCAAGCTGGTTGTTTTAAACTCATTAAACAAATTACCTGTAGCTCAGAATTTGTAAAGTATTTAAACTTTCACACTGTGGCTCTGGTGCTCTGGAAACAACAGCATCTCAGTTGGACTGCACTGCAACTTTGATAAGGAAGAATGTATGCTGCCATTAATTTACTTACATTACATACACAGCCGAATTTCCTCATAAAACACTGAAAGCACTAAGTATGAAGGTCCCTCCTCTTTGCTTAAAAAATGAAATACATTCAACTCTGGGTGACAGACCTTACCAAAATAAATCTCTAGGTGGTATAGACTCCAATCTACCTCTACCAGTGGGGATCACAACAATCTAGGTCAAAAAAAAAGTATAACAGCTTTCAAGAAAATGCTCCATTGCCTCCTAAGGAAAAGTCACTAGAAAGTTTACACTGCACTAACTGGGATGTCAATGGATGGATGGATGAAGATCAGCCAGGAAACAGAAAAGAAAAACAAATTAGACAGAAAAATAGATGGATTGAAGAAACAGAATAGAGAGATGAATTAGAGAAATTTATAAAAATATAAAACAGATTAGAGAAATATAGAAAGGCTCAGATATATACAGAAATAGATAAGATAGAAATGTGAAAGATAAAGTAGAGAAATACATAGGTAAATGAAGTTGAGAAACAGAAAGACAGATAAATGGATTAGAAAGATATAGATAGAAAAAAATAAGTTAGTTTGAGATTAAGTGGCTAAAAGGTACAGAAAGGTGAGCTTAGTTATATTAGACACAGAGATGGATTAGATGGATAGAACAGCACAGCCATACACTACATTACACTTCAGTCAACAACAGACCACATATACAATGGTATATATCATACAGCCTAGGTATGTGGTAGACACAAACCATCAAAGTTTGTGTAGGTATAGTCTATGACTGTCAAAAAAGGACAAAAATCACCTAAGGATACATTTTTTCAGAACATAATCCCATTGTTAAGCAGCAGGTAACTTACAGGGATAACTTATAAGAGAGGACATAAGCTTACTATGACCATATGATCTGACCATCACAATTACCCTGAAAAGAAGATATTCTTTTTTTTTTTTTTTTTTTTGATACCAAGGATCAAACTCGGGTCCTTGCACTTGTGAGGCAGGTGGTGGAACCACTGAGCTAAATCCCTGGCCCAAGAAGATATTCTTGCCCTTCTTATATAAACTGAGAAAAGAACTGAAAGGAAAAGCAAGTGAACATTTGTCTGATGTGAGTGCTTTACATGTACCCTCATATTTAATTCTCATAACTAACCACAATGCATCTTAAAGAGGACACAGCCTCAGAAAGGTAAAGTAATTTGCCTAAGATCACACCAACACTGGCACCAGAATTCTGGCTTCAAAGACCTTCCCTCTGTAGGCCAACAGTACCACTCAGGCAGTCATGTACCGAATTGTGAATGGTTTCTCACACTGTGAAAGAGCTGGTACCTACCTGTTAATAAAGCTGAGTGGGCTGAGCCAGCAAGAACACATATTGCTTTACAATTCTCTAGACCTACAAAAAAAAAAAAAAAAAAGAAAAGAGTTTCTTCTGAATTACACATAACAAACTGGGCAGGGGGGAACTCTCAGCCAGCATCCCCTGGGCAGGGGGAGAGACTCTCAGGCAGTACGGGCAGGTGTGGGTCAGCAGCACTGGCCAAGAAGACACTGGCATGATGGGAGACAGTAACACAGTAGGGGTCTGAACAGAGAAGTACACATACTATCAGAGAGAAGAAAGTACTGCTATGGAAAGAGGAAAACTAGAAACAACTAGGTGATACTGGATTGTAATTGGGAAAATCAATGTAAATTCATGGCTTCTGGTAGAGATAGACAGAAAGGTGTTTATGTGTAAAAATATATTTGACTGTATTTTTGTCTGCTGCATGAGCCTAGAAGCAATGACGTCTCTCTCCTACATTCAGCTGCTATTGTGTGCAGGACTTAAATACAAACCCAGGCCCCTCGGAACACACAGACAGAATGAAGACTGGAACTGGCCTTCCACCTCCATGTGTACACTTTTCCCCCCTTCACAACACTACCTTCATGACAAAGCAGGATCCCAACCAACCCTGCTAGAAGTTGGGATAACCTGTGACAACATGTGGGTTAGCATGTGGATAAATGCAGTCTCATTCTATGACCCTTTTCTGAAATTTCAGTTTAATTAACTAGTGTCTTCGTAAAGGACACCTCGCTTCTTCATATGTATTTCCAGCCGCACTCACCCAGAGAGGAATCCTGGGCCCTTACTGGCCAGGTGAGGAGGGCACAGCCAGGGATCTAAGTCCAGAGCCTGTGGCAATGAGGTAAAGACAGGAGAGTCCAAAGTGAAAGACTTTGAGGACAGGGAGTTGATGATCTATTCTAAGGTCTCAGCAGAAAATTCCCCCAAGTCAACTCTGAATCCAAGCTGTTACTCCAAGCAGATCCCAAACAGGTTGTTTAAATCAAATCAACTAAAAAAACACTTTTTTTATTCCTTCTAGTTATTGGTCCTATGCTAACATACATAGAAGAATGACTCACGGTTCCTCCCCTTAAAAAGCTCATAATCTGTGGCGTGTGAGAAATCTTATTAACAATTCATACTCATGGAATGTGCCCTGCCATCGGTGTGTGTAAAGAAAATTCAGTGGAGGTGAGAAAAAGAAAGAGTATTCACCAAGAGAGATGCCACTGAGCAAGCCCTCAAAAAACTTCTGGATTTTCCCAGAGAGAGCAGGAAGGAAAGGCATTCAGGCAGAGCTGCCAGTGTGCCCAGGGGCATGGATGCATGGAACAGCAGCGGGTGCCGAGGGAGGAGTGGACACTTGGACTAAGAAGAAAAATGGTTTGGGAAATGTGAGTTTATGAGTGTTTTCAATGGGATGTAAAATGACTACCTGTCCAGCCTCAGGGACTCCTGCTCCTATTCTGAGTCCCCTCCCCAGCTCAACCCAGAACTTCAGGAAGCGAACTCCAGCCCCAGCTGAAGAAGAGACTCCAGGACTTAGAAAAGCCAGGATGCCCCCAACATCCATGTACATGACCCTGACTACAGCCTCCCCTTCCCAACTCTTTCCCCACCCTTCCTACCACCCTCAAATACCCCTTTTTATTCTGAGCTACAGAAGTTAGAAGTCTCCTAACCTAGGAAGTTTGTTTCCTTACAGCCAACTTTCACTAAACTGGGTCATAAAGTAAGAGAGTGAGAGAAGAAGAAAGAGAAGACACAGGTAGGCATAGTGCTAAATACAGAGAGAAGGGCAGACAAAGAGACTAGAAAAGAGAGAGAAAGGGGGAGTGAGTGAAGGAGGAAGAGGAAAAAAATCTCAACAGATCAAATGACCACAGATCAATCAACAGAACACTTGTTACCTACTCTTCATGTTTTCATATAGAAATTTCCCCACCAGAACACTCCTGGCCCTCTCTCCACATCCTCATTCCTGCTTCTGTCGTGAGACAAGGAACTGTGTATGGCAGGCACAATTCACAGTCCTTCTGGGTTCTCCCTTGTGGTGGGCCTGCCCACAGAGAAGCTGCACTCCTGTGTTTGCTTGGCCATGCCACAAGCTTACCAGGACTAACTCTGCAGTTCCCTGGTGAGGAAGTTCAGTCTAGGGTTCAGCATTTATAGGGTCATTATTACTACACATTGTTTCCAAGCACCTAAGTCATATCTTCCAAGTAGCTTTTCAGAGCTACCATTTTCATCTCTATCCACCTGACTTGCATCTCTCAGTAGGTCCCAAACTGACAGCAAAGAGAGTTACTTTTACCGAGACCACAAAAGTCCCAACAAGACAAACATACCAACCAATAGAGCATACTGGACAGAGAGATCAAGAAAGAGCAAAAATAAAAACCCATTTACTCATTTTCTGTATGCATGTGCCTCTCCTTTCTCACAAAGAATAAATACAAAACTAAGAAATAATGGACTCACCTGTCACTCTGCTTGGTTCCTTTGCTGTCAAAAATAATGGGAGAGTCTGCCCGGGACATAACCGTCGTCCAGATGATGCCAAACCAGTCCCCCACTGGAACACAATGCCACTCACTTCCCAGTGAAGCAGAAGAAAAAACAGAGAAAATGCACATCAGAATAAGACCAGATTGTTATGCCAAACATGGTGGTGCATGCCTGTAATCCTAGCACTCAGAAAGCTGAGGCAAGAAGATCACCATGAATTAGAGGCCAGCCTGGGCCACACAGCAAGACCCTGTCTCAAAAAGAAAAGAAAAGAAAAAGACCAGATTGCTCTTTGAACAGAAAACACCAAGCACTGGTGAGCTACAGGAAATTCTCTATTCATTCTCAGTTAATAAAATTCAGTTAATATGAATAATATGGAGAAGTTTGATTGCTTCAAGGAGTCCCATGACTAGCTGCAGGGATTACCTCAAAGCCAATCACAAATCCAGTCATCAGGACAATCTAAGACCATCAAAGATAATTCCAATATAGTAAAACTTCCTTCAAAAACTTGTAGGATAAAAAAAAAAAAAAAACTTCTAGGATACTCCTCCAGAGTCATATCACTGCAATGTTCATCATTAGCCTGAAAGGACAACTCAGACTCCAAACCAAATACAAAAGAATCATGAAGACCAGTTCATTCTTCTCATTTACTAGGTGAGAAAACTGAGGCCCTGAAGAGCGGATGTGATTTGTCCATGGTCACACAGGGAAGTAATAACAAAGAAAATGTTAGGACCCGGTGTTTCTAACATCTAAGTAATGTCCTTCTCACTACACCAGGATAAATTCAAAGATTCTCAATTGCCAAATAAATATGTACTTATGATTACAAGACAGCTTAACAGTCACAATTTCAGTGAGATAATCTTTTATTTCCATTGTCACTGAACCTCATACAAATGCAAAGATAAAATTCTATGTATTTGGTCTACCACCAAATATATGCAACTTGCATCACCAATACAACGTCCACGTCTGTTCCTCCGGAAACGTTCTATAACCAGATAAGCCTGTTTTATGAAAATGAAGCTATGAACACTGAGCACAATATGAGCAAACATAGGATTGTCATAAAACAAAACTTACAATTGCCTCAACAAATAAACTGCAAAGACAAAATCTATAGATTAAAAGAAACTTCAGATATCTGATAAAAGATTATTATCCAGAATACATAAAGAACTCATAAATTTTTTTTTTAATTAAAAATGGACAAAGAGGGGCCAGGGATTTAGCTCAGTGGTGCTGCCACCTGCCTCACAAGTGCAAGGTCCCAAGTTCTATCCCCAGTACCAAAAACAAAAAAAATGGACAAAGCACTTGAATACACATTTCTCTAAGAAGTTACATGAATTAGCCGGGCGTGGTGACACATGCCTGTAATCCCAGCACTGGGGAGGCTGAGGCAGGAAGATCACTATGAGTTTGAGGCCAGCCAGGGCTACATAGTGAGTTCAGGACCAGCCTGAACTACAAAGGGAAACACTGGCTCAAAAAAAAAAAGAAAAAAAGAAAAAAGAAAAAGAAGATACATGAATGACCAATAAACACATGAAAAGATGCTCAACATCACCAATCATTAAGGAAATGCAAGTTAAAATTACAATGAGATACCAACTTACACTCACTTGTATGCTATAGCAAACAAACAAGACAAAAAACCCAGAAAATACCAATCACTGGTGAGCTTGTGAAGGAATTAAAACTCATATGCACTGTTGGCAAGAATGTAAAATGGTACAACTGCTATGGAAAACAGTATGGCAGTTCCTCAAAAAGTTAAAAATAGCATTACCATATGATCCAGGAATTGTGCTCCTGGGTATATATCTCAAAGAAGTAAAAATAGGATCTAGAAGAGTCATTTGTTCATGCTAGCATTATTCACTATAGCTAAAACAAGGACATAACTCAAGCGTTTAATGACAGATGAATGGGTAAGCAAAATGTGGTACAAGTATACACACAGCACGCACACACACACTCACACACACATACACACAGAGGAATATTTTCAGCCTGAAAAAGTACAGAAATGCTGACATTATACTCCATGGATGAACCATGAGGACAGTTTAAGTGAAATAAGCCAATCAGAATAAAAGACCAATATTTTATGAGTCCATTTGGATGAGGTTCTTAGAGTAGTCAACACTATAGAGACATAAAGTAGAATGGTGAGGGCAGGGAGATTGGAGAGTTATTGGGTATAGAATTTTAATTTTTCAAGATGAAAAAAGTTCAGGAGATGGATAGTGATAATGATTTTGCAACAATATGAATGTACTTAATACTATTGAACTACACACTTAATTAAGATGGAAAATGTTACGTTATATTTTACTGCAATAAAAACTCAAAAAAACAAATTTATGAGAGAGACTCAAGATACCTATCAACCAACTGTAATATGCAGAACTAATTCAGACCCTGATTCAAAAGACACTGGATATTTAATGATATTATAGAATTGTTAATTTTTTAGGTCTGATGATGGTATTACAGCAACATTTTCAAAAAGAATATTTATCTTTTGGGGTTACATATAGAAATATTTACAGATCAAATGAGGGAGAGAAGGACTTATAATTAAGTTAGTCAAACACATAATGCAAACTGTACTACTGGATAATGAATACTTAAGACTAACAATTATATTCAATATTTTCCAAGTCATATATCTGATAAGAGGCTAACTTTTTCTGTGCTGGGGATCAAACCCAGGGCCCCCTACCACTGAACCACATCCTCAGCCATCCGTTCGTTCATTCATTCATTCATTCATTCACTGTTTTTTCTTTTTCTTTTTCTTTGAGGCATGGTCTTGCTAAGTTGTCCAAGTGAGAATTACATTTGTAAATCTCCTGCCTCAGGCTTCCTCAGTGCTGGAAATACAGGCATGAGCCATCACACCCAGCTTTAAGGGCTTAATTTCTAAAACATATCAGGAACTCCTACAACTCAATAACAAAAATTTTAGAATGCACAAAGACTTGAATAGACATATCCCCCAAAGAAGACATACAAATGGCCAACAGGTATATGAAAAGATGATCATTATCAGGAAAATACAAATCAAAACTACACTGAGAAGTCACTTCACACCTGTTAGGGTGGCTATTATTTTTTTAATGTGTTAGTGGGGATATGAAGAAATTGGAACTCTAGTACACTGTTCCCAAGAATGCAAAATGGGGCTGCAACTGTAGAAAGCAGTATGGAGGTTCCTCAAAAAATTAAAAATAGAATTACCATATGATCCAGCAACCCCATTTCTATCTGTATATCCACAAGACCTAAAACCCGTATCTTGCGGAGATATCTGCACTCCACCCCCAGGTTGACCGCAGCACTACTTACAAAAGCCAAAACATAGAAATAACCCATGTCTCTCCAAAGATGAGTAACAAAATGTAGCACATGCATTTGACAGAATATCATTCAGCCTTTAAAAAGAAGAAAATCCTGTCATTTGTGACAATATGAATCTGGATGACATTATTCTTGGCAAAATAAACCAGACGCAGAACAAATACTGCATGATACCACTTATACTGGGCACCTGTGATAGTTAAATTCACAGAAGGAGAGAATACAATGGTGACTGTCAGGGTACAGGGGCAGGAGAAATGGAGAGTTATTCAATTGGTGTAAGGCTTCAGTTAGGCTAGATGAGTAAATTCTTGAGGTCTGCTCTACAACGGTGCCTACAGTTAACACACAAGTGCAGCATGGCACATCTCAACATCTAAGAATGTAGATTTCATGTTACATGTTCTTGACACAAAACACACACACACGTGCACACACACACACAGCTCAAAGGGACTTAAAGAAGCTTTGGGAATTTTGGATATGTACCATGATAGTGGTGATGATGACATCACAGATATTTGCAAACCTCCAAATCCATCAAATTATAAAATTCAATATGTGCAGTTATGTCAACTTTACTGGAATAAACTTGTTTTTTAAAAAAGACTAGCAAGGGGCCAGGGATTTAGCTCAGTGGCACAGCACCTGCCTTGTAAGTACAAGGTCCTGAGTTTGATCCTCAGTACCACAAAAAATAAAAACAAAAAAATTTAAAAAGACTAGCAAGCACAGAGAGTTGGTAGACAAGGGGGGAGAAGAATTTTTTAGGCAATTTTTCTTAACTTACTAATTTCTAAGAGGGGAACTTGCTTATATAAAAAAATATAGTCACAACCCTACAACTAAACAATCATACTAGTGGGCATCTATCTCAGAGAAATGAAAACTGATGTTCATATAAAAACCTGTCCACAAATCTTTATAGCAGCCTTTTGTGTGTGTGTCGTAGTGAGGACTGAATCCAGGGAGTGCTGTTACATCCCCAGCCTTTTTTTTTTTTGAGACATGGTCCCAGTAGTTGCCCAGGCTGGCCTCAAAATTCAGATCCTCTTGCCTCAGCTTCTCAACTAGCTGGAATTACAGGTGTGCCCCACACCCCACAGCTTTCCTCTTGAGAGCCCCAAACTGGAAACAAACCAAAGGTTCTTCTGTGGGTGGCTAGTTAAACTGTGGCTATAATGGACTCAACTGTGTCCCTCCAAAATTCAAATGTTGAAGCCCTAATCCCCAAGGTGACTATATTTGGAAACAGGACCTATAAGGAGATAATAAAGGTTAAATGGTGTCTGTCATATGGTAGGGCCTTAATCCAAGAGGACTTGTGTCCTTATAAGAAGAGGAAGACATGAAAGACCTCTCTCACTCCACCAGTGTACAGATGAAAGGCTACAGAAGGGCAGAAGAAGCCAAGGAAAAGGTCTCACTGGAAACCAGTCCTGTTGGAATACTGATCTCGGGCTTTGAGCCTCAAGAACAATCAGTAAATTAATTTCTGTTGCTCTAGCCATCTAGTCTGTGGTATTTTGTTACAGCAGTCCCTCAGGACTTACACAATGATACAGCCATACCACGGAATACTACTCAGCAAAAACAGGAACGAATTATAGGTATGCCTGAGAAAAAGCCAACCCCAAAAGACTACACCTGGTACAGAAAGCAGGCTTACCTAAAGCTTTAAATTAAAATATTTACCAGAAGGCAGTGCAGTTCACTGCAAAGGATGTGGGCCTTGATATCCAGATTTCCCAGACTCTGATCCCACCTACCTTACCCCATGTGTAACATGCACAAGTGCTTTAACCTCTCTGGGCCTCAGTTTCTTCAAATATAATAACTTAACTCACATCACTCCCTGCTTGTGAGGATTAAATAAATCAAATCAAGACAATCTAGCACCATGCCCAGAACAAAAAGAGCTAGAAACTTTCATTTCCTCCCTCCCTTCTGCTACAGGCTTTCCCACGTGACATCTGCCTTATGTTCCCTCCTTTTAATCAGAACTGTAACACAGCAAGGACCCTTTTAAATACTCCTTGAAAGATCCTTCTCCTAAAGCTCAGCTGTTCCTTCTTATATGCCCATTTAGGAAATAAAGGCAAAATGATCACCTGTAGCAGCTAATGCATGCCTCAGTCCAGCAGCAACACAAATAACCTTCTCTGTCAGAAGCTGTCAAAAAAAAAAATTTTGATCTCAGTATCATCCATCTAGAAAATTTCATGTACTTTATGCCCAGTATGATGCAGCATGGTCCTCACAATGTGTCTCTTTAAAAGTCCCCTGCCACAGAGCGTGGTTGTACACATCTATAATCCTAGGTACTTAGGAGACTGAGGCAGGAGGATCCTAAATTCAAGGCCAGCCTGGGCAACTTAGTGAGACCATTTTCAAAATTAAAAAAATAGAAAGAGATGGGGATGTAGCTCAGTCACTGACAAAAATAAGTAATTATAAATATGTAAAGCCCTGCCCCGAACATTTCTACACATAAATACATCCTAGAAGTAAAAAATTTCTAAAAGGAAAAACAAAATTTTTTTAAATACCATCTCACAATGCCCCTCATAGCTGGGAGGGATCTTCAAGATCATCCAGTCCAGGGTTACTAAATGTTTTTTAAAAAGGCCAGATAGGGGCCTGGGATTTAGCTCAGTGGTTCCACCACCTGCCTTGTAAGCGCAAGGACCTGAGTTCGATCCTCAGTACCAAAACAAACAAACAACAACTCCCCCCCCCCAAAAAAAGGGCCAAATAGTAAATATTTCAGAGTTTACAGGCTGCACAGCTTCTGTTACACAACTTGGCTCTGACACCATAGTACAGAAACAGCTATAGAATGTACAAAAATGAATAAGCATGGCTGTGTTCCAATAAAACTTTACTTACTGGCAGCTCTGGATTTCCCAATCCTGATCTAGTCCAGTCCCTATCCAATGCTAGACCCTCCTCAGCAACACCAGCCCTGCTACACCGCCCTCCGGGGACACAGGCTCGACACCTCCCCAGGTGACTGTTCCATCTCTGAACAATTCCATTTATCCCTTTAGGTGGAGCCAAACCCATCTGCCTGCAGCTTCTGACAACACTTTCCAAATATTTGAAGACAGTTGTCATGTCCTCTCTAAGACATCTTGTGGTGGTTTTAAAAATAGGTCCTTGAATTCTTTGATACTACTCCCTTCGAGATGTGCAGCTCAGCTCCCCTCCTCTGTGTGGGCTGGACTTAGTGACATACTTTTAATGAAAAGAACAAGGACACAATGAGTGACTCAGAGACGAGGCGATACAATGCACTGAGCTCCCTGCCTTAAATCACTCCTGGGGAACCAGAGCCACATGTGAACAGGCCCACAGAGAACTCCACATGGCAAGATATGGAGGCCTCTTGCCAAGAGCCACAAGAGAGAACCTGGAAATGGGTCCGCAGCCCAGCCGAGTCCACGAGCTCACACACAGACCCAGCTGCGACCTCATGAAAAACCAGCTCAGCTATTTTTTTGATTTCTGCCCCACAGAAACAATGAGATGTTTCTTGTTTAAAGCTGCTATATTTGGGGGCAATAGATAACTAATGCAGATCCTTTCTTTAGGTCAAATAGTCCCAGTTCAATCACCCATTACTAGGTTTCAAATTCTCCCTCCCTCCTGGTTTCTCTCCTCTAAAGATGCTCTGTTTGCTTGATCTCTCTCCTTTAAAGGAACTATTATGCATCAGTCACTGTCCTCATGGGGCTTTGTCACATTTGCTTTGTCACAGGACCACAGTGTCTTTCTAAACTTTAAGACCCTCAAGAGAAAGACCCGAGTCTTACTTTTATGCCCAGGACCTAAGCACCAGGCCTACAACAGAACATAACCCCCAAATGCAGTCTGATCAGCACAAAGAAAAGAGCTCCAGCCTTTTTTCTTCTGATGCTGTACCTCTACCAGTGGAGTCCCAAGTCACTTTAGGTTTTGACAAGATCTTCTTATTTGACCTTGCTCATATTGTCTTTTAAATATACTTTCTTTCCTTCCTTTCTTTCATCCTTCTTTTCTTTTTTCTAAAATTAACTGAAGGTCTTGACATGTGGTCTCAGTCTCTTTGAATATCACTCAGATAGAGATCTCCCTCTCCTGATCCACTGTCATTGCTTTAGTTTGGCCCAGAATCCTTTCCTGTCCGGATTGTTAGCAAGCTTCCTAAGTAGTATTTCTTCAATCCGTCCTCCACACTATCCTATCGGGCCCCTCCCTAACATGCTGCTCTTCACATGTGTCGCATATGACAACCCTGAGTGCCCGCCTCCCCACCAGCCCCTCACTGGCACTTCCACCTGTTCCTTATATTTCAACCATACTAAACTGCTTATAGTATCCCGAACTTGTTTTATGCTTCTATACCTTTGTAAGCAAAGCTTTCTTTGAGAGCAACGTTCTAGGCACTGTTTCTTCTGCCTTCTCTCTTCTTACAACTACTTTGCACTTCCTCTCTTCCCAAGCCAGGTAAAGTTTTACTCAACTTTTAAGACTTGGCTTAGAGTCTCACCCAACCTTCTCCTGGATAAGAGTTCATTCCTCCCTCCTTTGGGCTACACATGCATCTATCATAGTTCCAACATGGCATTGCATTCAAACATTTATTTATCAATCATGTACTACTAAACTAAAAGATTCTCAAATGGAAGACAGGTTTTCTTCACCTGTGTCCCCACTGCCTACACACAACAGCTGCCATTAACTAAATGAGTTTCTATTCTGTTTCACTTTGGCACATTCCTCCCATTGTTACATAGGCTGCATTACAGCCTGTCAAAATGTTTTTATTTACTGAGTCTATCATCCAACATATTTCAACCACTGTTCCATTCTGTCTTCTTTAATGATATGAATTATAATTATGCTAACTTAATTATAACATATGCAGGTTCTTACAAGGCCATCTATTTGCAATTATTATTACTGTGATCACTTACAAACATGTTTCCCATTATTACTAATTTTAGAATTGTAACATGTCACTAATGCCCTTATGAGATGTATTACCTTTATTGTTTTAGTTCACAAAGCCTTACCATGTGTATGAGGACTAACAGAGGTTTTTCCACTCATAACATCAATCCCCCCTAAACTAACTTTTCCCAACCAAATTCACTACCCCATGGGTTTTCAGGGACCTAGCCACCTGTTATTATGGGTGAGGGTAACTATGACAGCATGGAAACACTTTAACGGGACATAGGCAAGTCAAACATTACATGTCCTCACCTCAATGGCCTGGGGAACCACACATCTTCGAGGTCCATGAAGAACACCTAACTGGCCGAAGGAGTTTGATCCACATGATAGAACTTGACCATTTTCTGCAAAATATAAGTAAATTACAAATCTAAGAAATAAGACATCTGTGCCCAAAGGATAAGAGGCACAAAGGGGATGAGAGGAAGTAGTAGAGATCCTGTGCACTTAGCCCATATTCCCTGCTTTATTTCTCTAGGAATGAAAGCAGTGGGCACTAGGCTTTAATATAAATTAGTATATAAATTATTATACTACATCATTAATGGCAGATTATCTGTGCAGAACACTTAGCTCAGTGCTGAGTATTGGGATGGAAAGACACTTTTTCCCCACTGTTCATGTTTCCATGCGACAAAATTTCCATTCTTGTAACACTCCAGGCCTTTCTCCTTGCCTTTCCCCATACTCACAGCTCTCTAGGGAACAAGGGGTCATGTAACCAAAGGGTAAGTTTGGGAGAAGGAACAGGACACCTTCCTCTCAGGTATTCTGGGCTGATACATAGTAAGGGTTTTCTCTATGGAGAAGTTCTCTAGAGTTTGGAGGGAAATTCTAGACCAGAGAAGTTTTAGAACCACTTGGCCTCATAATTAACCCTGTCCTCCAACTCAGCTTTATCAGTAAAAGCCTACAGTCTGGCCCCCCAGCTCTGAGGCTCTGTATCTTTCTCACAATCAGTTCCAAATGTAGACAGGAAACAGAGTGTCATCTAGTGAGTCCCTACAATCCCAACACAGGCAAAGTACAGGGAGTGTGGAGAATAAGAGACAGGCAACAGAGAGAGGTGAACAGCTCTGGAAAGTCACAGGCTAAAAAGCTTGGAATTTAAGCTGTGCATGTGAGACTCCACAAGAGCTTGGGGCAGGAGGGGGACATGATCAGAAAATGCCTGTGCCAGAGGACTGTGACAAAGAAGCCAAGTTAGAAACCATGGACGATTCTTTAAATCCAAAATGGACAGCTGCAGAGGGCAAAGCCAAATAGGTCAAAACTGATTCAAAGGAAAAGTTAGCTGACAAAAGTTAACGACTGCCAGCTGCTCACAAGAGCATTATTCTATTAACCCTTTGATCATATCCCTTTACATCCTACTCTGTTACCTGGCTTCACAGAGATTAAAAAGTTCTGTCCAGCTAAAAGATAATTAGTTCTGTCCAACTAAAGCTTCCTGCTCCTGATACATGGGGCTGGGGGTGTTGCTCAGTGGTAGAACACTTGCCTAGCACGTTCTTGATCCTCAGTACTAAAGAAGAAAAAGAAAACAAACCCATCGTTCAGTGGGGAAAATCCCTTCTTGCCGTAGAAGCCCCTACTTCTCATACTTCCCCATCACATTCCCCCTTGATGGCCCAAACTGGTACTCCTGGACAGCTAGCCCAGCACACACCTACCATGAACTTTAGGGATGGGAAGCAGCCCCAAAGATGATCTAGTCCTTTCCCTAGTCTCTAGCAAAAGTTTTTCAGTCTGATCCTGATCTCCTTTGCTACTGACACTGTCTCTGTAAAAGGTGTCCTGCAACTTTCCTAGACCAGCGAGAATATTGTATGTGTGCTTTAAACACAAAGAGGCTTTACTTTAATTAGGAGTCACCACCATTGTGTCGCTCTTACCCAGAGCCTTTGTAATGACAAAGATTTACCTAGGAGTGAACTTGCCTGTGAGCATAATGGTAAAATCCCAGCCACAGGCTACCTGTTGGATGCGACAGCCACCAAGAGATTTGCAGATGGTAAAACACAGAACATCCTCTGTGTGACCAAGCCCCAACTGCCCATCTTTGTTCAAGCCACAAACAAAAAGGCTTCCTCCATCTGCAAAATACAAAGGTTCTGGTGATAGTGCACACAGGGGAAATCACAACTGCCAAAGTGAATGAAGAGTCTTCATTAATTATTTGAAGTCAGAGATAATAACTTTTTATCACCCAAGCTAATGTCAATAATCTATGTATATTAATGTGCTCTGGAGCCAAATGACACACGTCACAGGCCTAGAATCTAATATCTAAATAGAAACTCTAAGCTTTGGAACAGGCTGGGGGCGGGAGGCACTAATCGATTACCAAATGGCACAGTATTTCTTCAACACTGAAATGTGCCAGGTAGTAAGAGCTTTATGTGCAAGGCCAAATACTTATCCTTTAGGTACAGTGTCTATGGCCAACAAGACTTCTAGAGGCCCGTGAAAATGACTTCATTTAAAAATCTTTTTAAATGAGAAAAAAATAAAGCAGTTAGAATGTATATATAGCACTAAATCCAGCCTGGGATATATTCATCTTTATAGCGCCACAGTTGTAAATTAATTGTTAATATTTCCTTACAGAGGAAGGTGTCCATGAAAAGTGCCAAGGACTCACGGAAGTCATAATGCAGCCCTATGAACCCACTGGTTCTCCTCATCAACCATTATTATCCCCACATAGAGTGGACCCCCGAGTTATGACCAGCCTGACATATAAACAACTTGGCTTACAACTGCAATTTTAGTTTTAACTTATGACCAAATCTTGAATTATGACCCAAATGCCAGCTACCTGTGCTTCCAGATGGTCTCAGATACAGATTTATCTCTTAAAGAGTTCTGGAAGGAACATGACAACATCTTTCCAGTGTGGGGTTAACTGAGAAATCCCGGGCCAGTGTCTCTCTAAGGACACTGAGATCTGCCTGGATACAGGAGAGAGACTGAAGGCTGTGTAAGGAGCCTGAGCCTTCACTGACCAACGTGAGTTACAAGCAGCCCGCCTGAACAAACTGAGTTTGTAAATCAAGGGTCCACTGTAACAGATGAGGAACTGACTGGCACAGAAAGATTATCTGCCCAAGGCCACACAGCTAACAAATTACTGAACCAGGATTTGAACTCAAGCAGTTTGATTCTAGAACTTGTGTTTTTAACCAGATGCAGTATGCCCTCCTTTGCAACACCATGACACTCATAGTACATGTGTACTATCGTAGGTACCATGAGGGAAAAATAAAGACACTACAGTGTTCTTGCTCCCAATGAGTGTTCAATCTAATAGCAAAGACTTCTAACTCAGATGTGAAAGTTAAATGACAATATATAGTATCAATATGATACATGTTCTAACTCTGTCACTAATCTGCCTTGTGACCTTAAGCAATCAATGTTCCTCTCTAAGACTCATTTGACTAATGTGGGGATTGTAGGTTGGCTTAGATCTCGTGAAGTCCTCCTAATTCTTAAAATCTAAATTTCTCTAATGGTAACTTGGCTCTTTCCAAAAGGGTTCTCCTCTGCAAAATACGAAAGGCCGAAATATGGTAATATAACATCCTAGAGGAAAATGTCTAAATAAGAAAGTAAGTGGCTACATAGGAAATTACCTGTGACAACTGTAGAATGTCCCCCTCCTCCTGTGATCTTCCTGACACACTCAGGTTTACAGAAGTCAGTCAGTTGCTGGGGCAAAAGCACATCTTCCTTATGGCCAAGGCCAAGTTGCCCATAGCTATTTGCACCCTAGGGATAAAATAAGGTAAAAATGAAAAGAAACGGGAGAGCCAAAACTGCCAGTGTCTACTTACTTGTCCCATTTTCCCTCACCCTGACATACCTCTCTGAGTCTACAACAGATGCGATTCTATACTTATTCTTAAGAGGTTGTTACATGCAACCTACATTTAGATATCAGACCCATACTCAGAATACCATAATTTCCATTTAAGAGGAATCCTTTGGATCTAGAATGTATCCAGTGATATTTGATATTTCTCACACCTCTCCTTTCCAATGCTCCCACCCCCACATACTGCCTTTGGGAGCTAGCACAGGGATTCCTTCTGATAAAAGCCAGTTACCCAGGCTGGGGATATAGCTCAATGGTAAAGCACTTGCCTAGCATGCACACAAGGCCCTGAGTTCAATCCCCAGCACCACTATAAAGTGCTAGTAAGTAAAGTAGTTTGATACTGTCACAAATATTTTTAAAAGCCCAACTACCTAAAGAGGTTAAGGAAAGAAAAATGAAGGGAGAATAGAAACAAAGTGGGCAGGCATCACTTTGGTACTAGTTCTTACACCTTCTTCCCACACCCTCACTGAAAAAATTGGCAATGACTTTCTGTAATCAAATTTAGCTAAGGATTTTGTGCCCTCAGGCAAAGTGCACCATTATTTCATTTGTACATTGAAAGAGGTTGGCAGTGATCTCCAAGGGCCTTTCCAAGTACAATGTTTGATGAATCCAAGATTCCACATGGTGAGATTCCTGTAAGAGAACACATCTCCCCTTGGCAGGCAATATCTCTACTGTTATTATGCAATAAAAGTCCATAATACCCGATCTGAAACCACTGCAGCTAGATATATTCAAGACTCAGAATTTTACAGATTTTAGAAAAGTAGTATTTTTCATATATAATATATATTGCTGCAGCAAGTCCTGAGGGCACCATCCTATAAGCAAATCAGTAATATTTCTGCAGTAAAAGATATAAATATAATAGTGAACTGAGACTATAAATAGCCTTACATCCAGTAAGTTTCGGGTGTTCAGAGCTTTTTGCATTCACAGATAAAAATAAGAGATTGTGGCCATGCAAGGAGAATCTTATGAAGAATTCAGAAATTCTCATGATTTTTTCAAGTGTCTGCTCCCAGCTGGTTTTTCCTGGAGATAAGTGCTAAAACCTTTGAAGTACATTTGCTTTTGAAGACACCTAAATGAGGAAAAGTGGTTTAAAATAACTCCCAACAATGCATGCAAAACATACACGCTTAATAAACAAAATCCTCCTCCCTCCTCTTGTCTTGTTTCACAGTCATCCCGGATGGAGAGGACAATAAATGGGAGAATAAGCCACAGCAGAGGACAGATCCCAGAGACCCCAATTACCAAGCTGCATGCCGGACATTCACCTTTAATCCTCACAACACTAAAGAGAAGGGTAATATGGCTCTCATTTTACAGATGAAGAAACTAAGGCTCACAAAGGGTAAGTAACTTCCCATAGTTACACAGCTGGATAAGCAGCGAGTCAGATGTCTTGCTCCTTTCACTAGACCTTATGGTATCTATAAGGAAAAAAGAATTATGTGGTGACCCAGCACTGAGCTCACCTGGCAGGCCACTGGCATGACCCTACCTAAAACATCACCCATCCCCCTTTTCTGCTTTATTGTTCTTCATATCACTCTTTGACCTTACAGTATAGCTTTGTTACCTGTTTACTGTCTACCTGCCCAACTAGAACATCAACTCCATGAGGGCAGCAACTTTGTTTTACTATTTCTCCTGCATGTGACCCTGTGCTGGCCCAGAAAAGATGTGCATGTTATCTCTACAGTAAGTGAATATAAGACCCTGTGAGTCCCCACCAGGAAAGGGCAAGTGCACAGGATTTCTCTGTCAGCTCGGAGATCTCTGTGGCTGCCCCATTACCAGGCTTGCAGGCTGCTGAACATCTGAGGGGAAAGTGAGGCACGACCACTCTGGGGTTCAAATTGTGGTGCCAATTTATGTAACAAAGCAAGAGGCCCTAAATCCAGGATATAGCAAGACAAAAATTTAATATAACCTATTACAACTGTATTCGTTTCCCTTCCTTCTAAACATTCCAGACACACACACACACACACACACACACACACACACATCCCTAACAAAGTAAATCCCCTTATTATAGCCTAAATTGTGTCCCCTCAAAATTTTTATAGTGGACCCCTAACCTCCAATACCTCAGAATATGACTGTATTTGGAGGCAGGGCCTTTAAGGAGATCTAAGGTTAAACGATGAAGTCAAAGGAGTGGGGCCCTCAACCAATATGCCTAGTCTCATTATAACCAAAGACACTGGGGATGTTCACCCACAAAGAAAAAGCTGCATAAGGCCACAGAGGAAACCAAGACTGCTGACACCATGCTCTTGGACTTCTGGCCTACAGAACTATGAGAAAAGAAATTTCGGTTGTCTAACCCTCACAGTCTGTAGTATTGTTATGGCTGCACAAGCAGACTAATACACGCAGAGTACACAGCAGGAAGAACATGCCATTGAGCCTCCCAACACAGCAGCAGGGTGAGGTTCAACAATATTTTTGTTTCAGTACCTTCAAGGCAACATCTGAAACGCCTTTTCTGTCGGGTGTTACTTCTGTCTGCACAGATACCAGTCTCCTGGCTGGAAAAAGCCAGAGACACCACACTTTCCATCCCCAACTCCGTCCCTAGCTCAAGTGGCACCTCAAAGAGCTCAGCCAGCCAGGCCACCCCTCTCTGCCAACCTGCAGCCTTACATTCAACAAGTACTGTACAAGGTGTGTACTGATAATTCATTTTTCAAAAAATAGACAATAAATGCTGATTGTAATGGCATTACAGGTATTATATCCTCCCTGAACACAAGGGTTTTCACTCCTGTGTCTTTCCCAAACACCTAACACAACTGGGCACACAGGTATCCATTCATTCATTCTTCAGGCAAGAAATATTTGCTAGGGACCTGCAGGGCCAGGGATTTAGCTCAGTGGTTCCACCTCCTGCCTTGCAAGTGCAAGGACCCGAGTTCGATCTCCGGTACTAAAAAAACAAAAAACAAAAACAAAACGGCACATTAGGGACCTGCATTAAGCCAGGTGCTGTGAACAAGACCTGCTCAGCACCTACCCTTACGACGCTTACGCTGTAGCCAGAGATGACATTAGGAAATTACACACGTCATCACAATGGTGATACCTACGTAGAAAAACCACAAGACCCAACATCTGCGTGCTCCAGTGCACGCCTGTCACACACTCCTGTGAACAAAGCCTCCTCTCTCCCAGACACACGTAAAGACAGCCCTGTCTCTCTCCAAGCTCGCGTCAGACCCTCATCAAGATCCCGCTGCAGCAGTGGCATCAAATATGCAGGGTCTGCGCCCCGCGCGCGACCACAAGCCGTAGGCCTCAACCCGAAGGACGCTCCTGCCAGCCGGGTGGAGCTGGGAAAGGGCCTCCATCCTCCAGGCCTCGGGAGGCGGGGGACACAGGTGGCCCCACGAGTTCTGGGAGCGGAGCCAGCGAGCCTCTCTCACTGAGCCCTCTGGGCTGTCTTCCCCGCGCTCTCAGACGAGAGCTCCCGCTGAACAGACGCTCTGCCTGGGTGGCAGGTTCCTCCCGAGAGCCGCAGCCCCTCCGGTGCGGACTCCACAGCCAGCAGATGCCTCAGTCACGCCTCGAGGGCCCTTCCGTCCCGGGGGTCCGCTCCTCCCAGCCCCAGCCCCAGCCCGGCAGCCTCCAACCCAGAACCCGGTTCGACCCTCCGACGCCTAGCCCCGAGCCGCCCGCACCGAGGCCTGGAGCTCCCGGGTCCCCGCGCCCCAGGCTCTGCGCAAACCCGGGGGCGGAGTCACGTACCCAGGCGAAGAGCGCGGCACCCGCAGGGGTGGCCTCGGAGGCGCTAGGCTCGGGCTCCATGCCGGCGAGCTCGCCGGTGCTTCCGGGAGGGGCGGGCACTGGGCGGGGCCGGCAGGGGGCGGGGGCGGGGAGAGGAAGGACGGGGCGGGGCAGGACTCGCCCAGGAGAGCTCGGGGCGGGGCCAGAACCGGGGTGGGTCAGACCGGGCAGGCCCGGGCAGGATGGGGCGTGGGGGGACAGGGCCAGCGCCTCCGAGACCCGGGTACCTGGGTGGCCTGCGGCCAGGAAGAGGCGGGGCCTGTGGTTGGGAGGGGATCACGGAGAGAGCTGCAGGTCGCCATGTCTTACGCCCCCTGGATCCTGTCGCAGCCCTACAGATCCCCACCGCGAAGCAGCCTTGCAGCAGGCGCGCTGGTAGCCGCCCGGCTACTCCACCTCCCCCCTCGCGCCCTTTAGTTCAGTGATAAATCCATACAGATGCACTACGCTCAGTGATGGACAGAGCTCCTCCACGTGATCCCCTCGGAGTGCGACCACATCACGAAGGGACTGACAGGGCAGAAATGGTGTCACCGCTTGGTGACGTTAGGAACTGACCCTGAGGAGTAGGAAAGGTCCTGCCCAAGGTCTTAAGCGGATCTGTGGCAGCCTGCTTCGGTGTGCATTTGGTAGACGAAAGCAGGGCTGGCATCGCTGTTGTCGCCCTTGGTTCCTGTCAGGCAGCGGGAGCGGGCGCCTGGAGACGTGAACTGCGGGGGCGGGTTAGCGTCCAAACCAGCGGAGCGGCGTACTAGCTTTCCGCGCTTGGGCATGGCCTGCCCCAATTTTGATCGTTAATACTTTATGAGTTTTCACCCCACAAAGATTTTCATAGAAAATGGCTTTTATCAGACACCGTTAAGCAGAATCCCGGAGACGCTGGAAAGAAAATTAAATAACTACCAATTTTCTGAAGGAATATGTGGCAGGCAGTGCATACTGGGCATAGAATTAGGAATTGGGAACAAATGGAGTCACATTAAAGGTAATGATAATGCACATTCAGTCGCTCCAGGACCCTCTGCTGCCACAGGCCTCTAGTCCTCCTTACCCTTTATGCCTGGAACCTCTGGGAAGTGTCTCAGGTGAGCTCCTGACCAGCCCTTCCCGTTCTCCTCGCACCTCACCACTTCTTGGTGCTTCTGCCTGTGAGACCACGTGGGGGCAGCCCCTACCCTTTACCTAGACAGCCTGCGGCTTCTTGAGAACATCATGATCATGCTAAGGAAAAGGCTAAGCAGCTTTCCTCCCTAGAGAACCTGATGTTTTATGGGTGGTCTAGTCTTGTTCTGATGATTCTTTTTGAGCACATGTAATGGGATATAAAAATGAGACCCTTCCCCTCTCAGTTTTGACTGAGTTACCAAAGCAATAAGGGCCAATGACTCGCTCAGTATGAAGAGGAGGGGAAACCGCCCAAGCACAACTTGCAAAGCAGGTGGCTGGAAATCAGTATGTGGCTTCCAATCAAAGAAAAAGGCTGGAACCGTGATAAAAACAGTACGGTACTGGCAAAGAAACAGACCGGAGGACCTGTGGAATAGACTAGAAGATGCAGAAACAACTCCAGACATACTCAGCCACCTCATCTTTGACAAAGGAGCCAACCACCCTCATTGAAAGAAAGATAGCCCCTTTAATAAATGGTGCTGGAAAAACTGGATTTCAACCTGCCAAAGATTAAAACTAGACCCATACCTATCACCATGCACTAAACTAAGATCGAAGTGGATTAAAGATCTAAATATTAAGACAGAAACACTAAACTTGCTGGAAGATAAGTTAGGTAGAACTCTTGAAGACACTGGCATAGGAAAAGACTTTATGAACAAATCCTCAGTAGCACGGGAACTAGCACAAAGAATCAACAACTGGGATCTCATCTTATTTAAAAGCTTCAGCACTGCAAAAGAAACCACCAACAGAGCTAAGAGACAACCTACAATGTGGGAAAAAAATTTTAGCAGCTCTTTCTCAGACAAAGGTCTACTATCTAGAATATATAAAGAACTGAAAAAAATCAGACCCCCCCCCAAATATAAAAACCCGATTCAAAAACAAGCTTCTGAAATGTACAGACATTTCTCAGGCAAAGAAGTAAAAGCAGCAAATAAATACATGAAAAAATGTTCAACGTCACTGGTCATTCAAGAGATGCAGATGAAAACAACACTGAGATTCCACTTCACCCCAGAAAGAATGGCCGCTATCAAGAAATCAACCAATAACAAATGTTGGCGGGGCTGTGAGAAGAAATGAACCCTTCTCCATTGCTGGTGTGAGTGCAGACTGGTGCAAGCACTGTGGAAATCAATATGGAGATACCTCAAGGAACTAGGATTAGGACCAGGGAGTTGGCTCACTGGTTCCGCCGCCTGCCTGGCAAGCACAAGGACCCAAGTTCGATATCTGGTACCAAAAAAAAAAAAAAAAACTAGGATAAGAGGTCCCATTTGACCCAGTTATCCCTCTGCTGGGTATCTTTCCAAAAGAATTAGGGGCCGGGGATTTAGCTCAGTGGTTTTGCTGCCTGCTGTGCAAGCGCAAGGACCCGAGTTCGATCCCTGGTACCTAAAAAGAAAAAGAATTAAAACAATCATACTACAGCCATATATGTGCACCCATGTTTATAGCGGCCATAAAAAATGAGAAACTAGCGACATTTATAGCTAAATGGATCCATATTGAGGCCACACTCTTAAGTGAAATAAATAGGACACACATGTGTAAGTACCAAGTAGTTTCTCGGGTGTGAAAAACTAAAAGTGTAAATAAGGTTCAAATGGTATAATTGATAATGTGAAACAGGAAGAAAAGGTCTAAAGGAGTAGGGGAAGTGGGAGGGGTAGGGGAAGGGAAAGAAGGGAAAAGAAAAAATATGAAAAAAGGAAAAAATGGGAACAAAGTCTTTGTAAATAGAGAAGGGTGGAGGGGGTGAAGGGAGGGGAGGAGAATGGGGAAAAAATAAGAACCAAGATGCATCATGTACGAGATCCCAACGATGAATGTAACTGTATTGTATACCTAAAATGTACCGATAAACTTAATGAAAGAAAAAGGCTGGAAAGGCCGAGAGAATCCTGATAGTATATTCTGATAGGATTTGCTGTCAGTATGATGTAAGCCCTGCCCATCTCATGTGCAAGGAAAGGTGTTTCAGCAGGGCCCCTGAGAAAGCTGGGTATATGTCCCTCATACCCCACCAGGCTGCTGTTCAGTTCATGATAGTTGTGCATAGAGAAATTGATGCTATGGGGAAGGTCTTAACAGCCAGGGGTTTTCGAGATAAAGAATGTCCATGTGAATGTTCCCAGAGCATAAATGAATCGGCTAGGAGATGGTCGTAGACCGTGCCCAAGGGAATTTCTAGAAAACTGAGAGGACACCTCAAGGCAGTTGACTGCTAGTTTCCTGGAGGCTGAGAAAGGTTATCCAACAACCCAAGCAGAGAGATCCATTTACCCACATCAAGAGGTCCCAAGAAATCATATGGGGTGGTCTTCCAAAACCCCCACAAAAGGTGAGTCAGCCTTAAAAACTTACTATGTACAGAAAGCTCAGATGCCAACTCACATAGTATCAAGCCAAAAAGAACTTTTCTACCCTTTACCTCTCCTGTGCTACCACTTCTCCTCCCAACCCTGAAGGAGTCAGAGGAGCAGGAAAACAAGAAGTTAATGAACGGCTTTCTCGATTCTAGAAGAGAAGAAAACCTTAACCTTAAAGTTTGATGCTTTAAATTTTTACACAGTACTGGACTTTTTAAATACTGAGTAAGAGAGGGGAGGGATATAAGTGAGAAAGAGAGTAGAAGAGGCTAGGGACTACTTATTATCTGTGAGTGAGCAACAAAGTCAAGGAAGTGTGAGCTGAGATCTCACCCAGAGGGGCAAAGAGGAACTACCTTCTGGCAGAATTAGCTTTAATCGTCTGTGAGGACGCAGTTTGCTAATTTCACTCCTTGAATGTGCATGGCATCAATATTTCAGCTAACCTACAGTTATACTATTATGTGATATCCCTTAATACAATTTCTTAGAAATGTTGAGATGTTGTCACTCTTCCAGCTCTGTCCATGCCACTGATTAGATCTTCCCATGAGCAGCCTGGTTGAGTTGCTGTTCTTGAATGGGACTAAATTTAAACTGTTTGACAGAAGCACTTGTAGATGCCACTTCCACCCACAAGAAAAAGTATAAAATACTTGGAGCCCACGCAGACTATCTTTCTGTGATGAAGAAATGTCTCCATTTGATTATCTTATTTGATCCTCCCAATAATAACTAGTGTACGTATTATTATAGTGTACGTTATTTTGTAGATGAAATAAAAACATCTCAATGAAATTAAATGATTTACTCCAAGGTCAGACTTTTAATACAGGAAGATTAGCTAGCTGCTGACCAGTTCTCTCATCAAACACGACTAGAAAAGCTGATGGGAAATTTTTTTTTTTCGTACCAGGGATCGAACTCTGGTCCTTGCACTTGCGAGGCAGGCGGTGGAAACACTGAGCTAAATCCCCAGCCCTAGTGGAAAATATTTTAAAATCTATTTTGAGTCATTGGAGAGCTATCAGGGCAGCAAGAACTCAAAGGACTACTGATCTGGGAGCTGGGAGATTATATTTGCCACTATTTTTCTCCCTGAAACACTTGCTAATTAGCAAGCAATGTCTTGGAGGCTGAAATCTGGGCTGAAAGCAGCAGACAGGAAACTGAGCACTAATTTTACAGGGCTGGGGGAGGAAGGTGCTAAGAGTGAAGGAGGGAACAAAACTAGGCATTCGGGGCCCCGAAGAAGCAACAGTCCTGGTAAACACACATAGATTTCAGTGGGGAACCCTAAAGTGCTTCACCCTGAGAACAGAGATGCTCTGGAAATAGACTATCCTCCCAGAGACTGAAGCTCAGCTTCACGTTGGCTCCATCCCTAACTGGACTAAGCTCTTCCTCTGCCAAGATACCTATACTGCCTGCTAGAAGCAAAAGTTAACCTCCTTGGGAGGAAAATAAACTCATCCAGAAGCTATGGGGGAAATCTCTGATTAGGAGAGGACTATACTAACAATTCTTTACATGTAGAAAATAAAGTTTGTTTTTACAAAGTCCTCTCACAATGTCATTTCTCCTGTAACCCAGTGCAGTCGACTTAGCTTATATTTCAGATAAGGAACAAGAGAGCGAGGCTTCACCAAGAACCCTGGGAAGTGGTCACAAGTTTCAGGCATATATCTCACAGCCATAAGGTTTTTAAGAAGTATAAAGATATGATGGAGTTTTTTAACTAATAGCTAATATAAATTTAAATATTTTCATGTGTATTTGACAAAAATAAATACTTGTTCAAAGCATGATTTTTGTTATTTATTATCCATTTGAATAACAAACAAAAATTATAAATGCACATTACATGGTAAGACAAAGACTGGACAGAAAGAGGTCACAGTATCTTTACCCACTTTCTATAAATTAAAATATGGACTGTATTAAATGTTCCTTTAGAGAATCCCAGGATTTTTTCTTTTCCAATTCAGAAGCCAACTTAAAAATTAACAAATTTGATCCCCGGTACCAAAAGAAAAATTAACAATAATTCTATTCATTTTGATGTGTCATTACTACTTTGTAACTCCAAATGACAAAATATGAGGATTAGGGAATGTAGGCATTCGAATGACTAACTTCTGAGCTTTCTTCAAAAATTAAGAGGATACTATAACCTTGAGTAATGACTCACTGGTAAAGAATTATGAACTAAGCTTTTGGTTCAATACTGTACAGTACTCATATTTGAGTAATTATAATATATTCCTTGGTGCTTTGAAGACATATATTTAAAGCCAAAGACATATGTAAAATTCCAAGACTCAGGACTCTTAACTTACCAAATATCACAAATCCATATTTAAGAAGAACTGAAAATCATTATTAAATATTTCCATTGTTCTGAAGTTGTGAATTACATATAGGGTTGAGTCTATAACATTTATTTTAATATTCTTTAGTCATAAAGTGATTTTTTTTTCTTTTTTTTTTTGGTCCCAGGGATTGAACTCAGGACCTTGCACTTGCGAGGCAGGCACAGCACCACTGAGCTAAATCCCCAGCCCATAAAAAGTGATTTTTAAATATCATTGTTTTAAAATTCAAACTGATTCTTCACCATGATCACATTTGTCTGAAAATAATAGATGCTGCATGCATAATTTGCTATTTACTATCTATTAGGGTTTCCTTATAATAGATTTCCTTGCATCAAAGTAGACAAACTAGTGAATCAGTATTTCAAAGGATTTTAGATTAACAGATCTATTTACTATCAAACATATACTTAACAGTTGTTAGCTATTAAAATGTATAAGTAAAGATCTGAAGTAGCACGAATTACTCTTCCAAATTCTGTTTCCTTATATGACATGAAATGAAATTTGGTTTTTAAAACTTTTCATAATTTCTTTTGAAATCTTTAAATGATTAAAAGTCTAGTGGTCTTTTGAAATAAAGCATGTTAAATGGTATGCCATTTGACTATTGTGAAAAAATAAAGGGAGAGATTTTTTAAGTAGCTGATTACACCAGGACAACCAACTGAAATATGACCCCTAATATACCATCACCAGAAATTAGAGAAAGCAAATGGGGTGAATATTCCAGTGATTCTGAGTTCCTCTTTGGACCTGTTGAATTTGATATTGGCAGGTTTGCCACACTGCACAACTCATTTCATTCAGTGTGAATGGGGCCACATGATGCTGTGTGACATTGGCCTAATTTGAGGGACATCTAGATGGAAATAACTAGCAAGCAGCTAGAATTAAGAGGCAAAAACTCAAGAAAGAAGGGGCCGGGGGTTTATTTAGCTCAGTGATTCCAGCGGCTGCCTCAAAACCACAAGGTCCAGAGTTCGATCCCTGGTACAAAAAAACCACAAAAAAACACTCAAGAAAGATGTCAGAGTTAAAACTGAAAATGTATGAGTAATCCAAAATTAAAACTGAATTCAAGGGTATGACTGACAATCCTCATGAAGAGATAGTGGAAGGAAGAGTGCTACAGACAGAAACTTGAGGTCCATCTCCATTTAGGGGATGGGGGAGTAAAAAGAGCAAATTAAAGAGGCCCAGCATATCGCTGGGAGTCCAGGTTCACCCATTTATAACACAACTGCTGCTAAGGTTTGCATCTAAATGGCCCCCAAAAGCCCATATGTTAAAGGCTTAGTCCTCAGCTTGGTGCTATTGGCAGACAGTGGAAACTTTAAGAGGTAGGGTCTAGCAGGACCTGTTCCGGTCATTGAAGGTATGCCCTTGAACAGTCTGTGGGACCCTAGTCTCTCCCCTCTCTCCCCTACCCTAACATAAAGTGAATGGTTTTCCTCTTTCAGATGTTCCCAGCATCTGCTTCCTCATCACAGGCCTAAAAGCAACAGGGCCAACCAACCATTGACTGAAACCTCTAGAATTGTGAGCCAAAATAAATTTTTCCTCTTTCTTAGTTGATTGTTCAGGTATTTTGCTACAGTAACAAAAAGGTAACACAATTGCCTATCCCTATGTTACCAAGGTGACACCATGAAGAAAAAAAACTGATCCTTGAAACCTTTGCATATTTATAGGCTCAGACCTACTAAAATACTCTTCTTGACAAAGTTTCTAACATTCCTTTTCCTCCCCCTCTACCCTTACTGTTTGCCTTCTTATTTTTGGCCTCAGAAATAAAGTACACAGTTGCTTTTCCAACATCCACTGTGTGTTTTTCTCCACTGTCTCAGTCTGAATTCTCCCTTTGACAAAACTGCCTCCTGCTAGCCTGAGGACAACACCACTGCGATAGCAGGACTGCATGTCTGAGCACAAGGCCGTCCAAATGTCCTCCCCACCACAGTCCCCTGGGCCTCATGAGTAGGACAGATAATCTAGGACAAAACCAGTAGGACACAATGTCATAGAAAAGAATAAGTTTCAAGGAGGAGGATCACTTGGGAAGGGCCTTTCTAGTGCCTACAAAATCAAGTGTGAAATTCATAGCCTAATCCTAAGAATTACACCGCAACCAACCCTTCCAATCTTACCTACTGCTGTATCCCATTAAGACACTACCCCTGAACCTGGACTATGCACACTTTGCTGGGCATGCTCCATAGAGATCTCTTTACTCATCTAGCAGCAGACAGAGCTGGTCCCCTCTTAAGTTTAAGTGTATGAGTGAATGTGATCACGGCTGGCACAAATTCAGCGCTAAGTAACAGACACTGGTAACAATATGGGGTCAACTTCACAACACTCACCAAGGTATTCTAAGCGGCCAGATCGTTCATTTTACTCAGGAAGGATGGAGAAAATAAGAGTTACGCGGAGACTAGATCTACTCTTTAGGCCAAACAACTTCTCTATTAAAAATGAGTGGTCACTTGGGCTTGATGGCATGCACCTGTAATCCCAGCAACTTGAGAGGCTGAAGCAAGAGAACTGCAAGTTCAAGGCCAGTCTGGGCTACACAGCAAGCCCTGGCCTCAAAAAGAGAGGTGGTCAGTGAACTTTATGGTATATAAATTATATTTCACTACAGCAGTTAACAAAACAACAACAACAAACGAACAAACAAAAAACAAAGACCAAAAAAAAAAAAGAGACCAATGATTCATTAAGCAGTGAGATTAGAGAATATTGTTTTGCCAGAAGCTTCTGTCCCTTCACAATCAGGTCTTCAGGAAAAGCAAGAGTTGGCCCACAGGCTCTGAATTGATGCTCAAATGTCTTCTGGATTAGGAGGGTGACTGTCACATACTCAGCTGCCTGCTGACCTTAGTGAGGGCATCACTGACGACATCAAGATCATGCCGCAGCTCATTCATGGCACTGGTTATGCTCTTGGTGTCTTTCAGGATCTGAATACTCTGAGTATATGGATTGTACTTCACCCCAAATGGACGTTTAGTTGTTTTGGCAAATTCTCTATTTAAGAAAACAAAGAAGAGATCATCAATTTCTGAGGACAGAGAGTTGATGAAAACAAACAACAGATCTATTTCACATACTAGGCAAAAGACAAAGCTTCACTGGATATATGTGCAACAATCTGATCTATTTCCTTACCTGGATGTGCAGAGAGCCCCTGGAATCCAACAGGTGGAAAACCTAAGTAGCATAGACACATCTACCCTGACATTACTAGGGGAAATCCTGTAGATAACTTTCTTAATAATTTATTGCTGTGTATGTCTCGTGCATTTTTTCTACAGTGCTGGGAATTGAACCCTGGGCCTCACACAACTAAGGCAAGCACTCTACTACAGAGCTACTCCCCTGGCCCTAGACATCTCTTAACTACACTAAGGATACCAACCGCAGTAGCTTTATCAATACATAATGACACTTGGCCACATCGTAACAGACTCCCCACTTGTGCCTTACACAACTGTAACTACATCTGTACACATGCAGACAAGGAGGCCAGGAGCAGCCCTGACTCCAGCAAATGTATATTCTTTCCACTTAGAATGTTTTCCTCTAGCTTCCTCTCCTCTCAAATGACTTGAATTCTACCCTTTCTTCAAGCCTCAAAGTTCCACTTCCTTTATCAAGTCACCATTTGAACCTTCATTTAGAACCCCAAGAAAAATCATGTTCAAGACTCCTAGGGATAATTGTGCAGCTGAGGATAACTGTGCATGAGTAAAGGCTGAAATCCAGGCTGTAATCTATCTGGTTTACCCAGAGGGGGGCACTCCTGATTTACACAAAGGTGCCATATGTGCTGCTAAAGAAAGCCCCTCTGGCATCTTTACTCTGTCCTATGCGTGGCCTACCTCCCCTACTGCAGTAATCGCTGCAAGATAAAGAGCATGTCTTCAACCTCTTTCTATCCCTAGCTTCACAGTATGACCTCATATCTTTCCTCCATCAAATGTTATTTTGTTGATTCTGCTCCTGTAGTCCTTCCTTTTCCTGCGACCTCTATTTTAGTTCAGGCTTTTATTTTCTCCAGAAGTTCTATAAGAATCTCCTCAAAATTGTCTCTGCCTCCAGTATCCTCTTGCTTTTCTTAATCACATACTTAGCTGATTAATAGTTAAAGTATGCTCTAAGTCTAAAATTTAACATATCTAAAATACTATCTATGCTTTGGGACTTTTCTCACAGGCCACTGAGCTTTTCCTGTTCCCCCAGATGAAATGAATTGCTCTTGAATAAAATGCAGAACTATCTTTCATCTATATCTCTTCTGGGCTCTTGTCACTTTCCATATTGTTATGTAGCAATGTGTAGACAGTCTATTTTTTTCTATTAAACTACAAATTTTCTGATGGGAAGGAATTTCTCAACTTATCTGGTTGTTACCATTACTTGACTGATCTATTGCAGAAGAAAATGAAGGCATGAAAAAGATATACTTTACCTCATTTTCTCCTTTGCATCTTCAAAGCTTTCAGATACAAAATAGACATCTTGAAAGGTTGTGATAAGACATTCCTGTTTGCAAGTAATCTTGGGATCAAAGGGCTTTACTTTGGCATGTCCAGAAAGTGCATGCTAGGGGAAAAAAGTCAGTGGATCAGAGATCACTTCCTATTTTCATAGATTGTACAGCTGCCAGAATTGGTACACTTCTGCACTTAATACTTATCCAATGGCCTCAACCTACAACCTCAAACTTCTTTCCTACATCTCTATTTAATCCACATTCTACCCCAACAAAACAAATGGCTTGCTATTCCTCACAAGGACCCCAAGATCATCTTTGTGGCTTCATTCTAATTCTTTTCTCCATGTCAGAGGCACCCATGGAACTCTACATATTCCTGCATTATGGCGCCTACTTTCTACACAATGGTGCAGTACTTATTTCTATCCTTGACTTATAGTCACCACTAGGTGGCAGGCTCCTTGATAGCGAAACAGTACCTTGGACAGTGTTTCACAGGCATTACTGAAACAAGTTCATTCATTCATTGGATAAATAATAAATATCAAATAATTCCCTCACAAGTACAGAAGTTATTGCTAGCGCACCAGGAAAGATGAAATGATGAGGCAGTAGCAATATTTTTTAAGCAAAAGCTTCAAAACTATTTTTATTTAAAAGATGGTGTGTCGGGCCAGGGATTTAGTTCAGTGGTTCTGCCGCCTGCCTCGCAAGCGCAAGGGCCCGACTTCAATCCCCGATATCAAAAAAAAAAAAAGATGTTATTTTGGCTCACAGTTTTACTATATTACCAGCTTGCTCCAAGGCAGAAACAGCAAGGCAGAGGCTCACGGCAGAGAAAAAGGTGCTCAGCCTATGGCAGCCAAGAAGCAGAGAGGAGAGAGGAGCCAGGGACAAGAACACACCTCTCCAGGTCACGCCCCCAGGGGCCCACCCACAACCAGGCCCCAAGACAAATGTCTTCAAGTAATGTTTATTTATATTTTATTTATTTATTTATTTATTTTTTGTACCGGGGATCGAACTCGGGTCCTTGCGCTGCTCAGCAGGCAGCAAAACCACTGAGCTAAATCCCCAGCCCTTCAAGTAATGTTTATTTAAAGAATTAAGATGTAGGGGCCAGGGAAAGTGCAAGGACCCGAGTTCAATCCCCGGTACCAAAAAATAAATAAATAAATAAATAATAAAATAAAAGAATTAAGATGTGTTGTGCACATGTACCAACTCTCCATGACAAATGTCATCATTATGCACTGCAAATGTGTACTAATGAAAAAATTAAAATTAAAAAAGCAGTGTTTACTGTCACCCCAAGTATTTCCCACAGGAGGCTCTTGTTCAAATATAAAAACTATTTCAGGTCATAGCAATTATATGAGGTGAATAAGTTATGTGCAAAGATTTACAACTCTTACTTTGAGCTCACTGATAGAAGAAAGCAAGCCAGCACCAAAGACTCTTAGCTGCCCATCTTGCTTACACAAACCAAACTCCACAGTGAAAAAGTAGCACTGCAAAAAGACATCAATATTATTTCACATCCCAAGTGACTCTGTCTATAACAAATTTCAACTCTTAGTCACTGGTCCAAAGTACCCCCAAAATAAAGAAGACCCACGACAAAGGTCACAAGTCTTTCCACAATTTGCCTAATTTTATTTTATTTTTTGGTACCAGAGATCAAACTCAAGACCTTGCACTTGCAAGGCAGGCACGGTGCCACTGAGCTAAATCCCCAGCCCATTGGCTTCATTCTAACCAGCACTTCTCAAACTTGTTCTGAAGATTCTTAGACACAATTAAAAGTTACTGAGGATTACAAGGATCTTTTTTCATATGTAAATTATAGCTAGCTATATTAACCATATTAAAATTAAAACTGAAAAATGTAAATATTAATTGTAAATATAGTAAATCCATTTTATGGTAAAATAAAAAACATTTTTATAAAAATAACCATTTTTACAAAAGTAGCATTGTTTTACATCATTAAAATCTTTTTTATATTTTAATTCTTTTGACAAAGTATAATCATATAAAAACATTGGGTATACAATGTGGAATTATTAAATCAGGCTAATTAACAACATTGTTACAAATCTTTTAAATGTCTGGCTAGACATTATTTAATGCCTGGGTAGATGACAGATGGATTGCTACATCTGCTTCTGTATTTAACCTATTGCAATATGTTGTTTTGGTTAAAGTATATGACGAAAACTCAGCTTCACACAGTTATGTAGTTGGAAAAGGGTAGAGTATTTTAATACCCTTTTTAGATAAGTATGGATATTCTCCTTTGAAATATACCAAAGTTCAACACATGGTAGTGTTTTTAAAGTTCGGGGATAACGTGGAATCAGAACTCTGTCAATGAACTCCATCTTTTAGATTAAAATTCATTTTCCATTTCAGTGGATCTTTTACCTATCCATGATTTCAACCTCAAAGACCCTGTGAAAAATCTCAGAAACCCCCAGGATTCCCAAATCACAATTTGAGAAGCACTGTTCCAACCAGCCAACCTGCTTCACATCACTTCCCCTACCCTTTCACTCTGCTCCAGTTTCCTGTCATTTCCCCAGACTCACCAAGTACTTCCTTGATTTGCCTCATGTACCCTCATCCTCAGATGCTTCCTTTCTTGGAACAGCCAAATGCTACAGTACTCATTTCCATCAGCTAGGACAGAGGTCCCTTTTCTATGAAACCTCCCCGCAAATTCTCTGTACTCCCAAACTGCTCTATAGTCCTTACCCCATTTGAACATGACTGAACCCTCAAGTAGTATATAAGCTCCTTAAAGACAGGAACCAGGACTTACTCATCTTTCTATTTCCAGAACAGTGTCTTGTACCTAGTGCTCAAAATGTTTTTAGCATAATTTTATGGAACTTATCTTTTTATTAGAAAATAAAAGGTACACAAACTAGTAGCATTAAAATTTCTCTCTCTTGTTTTTGGTACCAGGGATCGAACTCGGGACCTTGCGCTTGCGAGGCAGGTGGTGGAATCACTGAGCTAAATCCCAGGCCCTCTTATCTCTTTTTTTGAGAACACTTTCAATTATACATCTTAGTTTAATTAAGTTAAATATTCTGAGCAATAAAATGTAATGGTTATCTTTGATATGAAATTTTAAACTGCACAAACACTCATACTTTGTACCCAGTCGAGAATTACTGCACTATACGAGTTTTCCCAGCTTTATACCGTTGCCAGCTTCTGAACAGCCTCCTCTGAAGCTCCAAGTGATGCCAGACCAATTTCTTGGGAGAATTGAGCAAAACTAGGTTCAGCCAAGAGTGGAACATGACCTAAGAGTTCATGGCAGGTATCTCTGAAATGGAGGAACAAGTCTTTCATACTGTGATCCTTAGCACACATGTATAATCATTCAGTCAAATCAAAATCCAATCTTACTCTTATTCTACTTGACCAGGTCATAATGGGTCCCAAAGGATACCAACCAAATAAAGAAATGATTGAGGTTCAAAATCTTGGCCATGTACAGACACACTTACATATACATATCAGACACCCACAGACATGCCCTTGTCCCAGCCCCCACCCAAATCAGGCCCCTACTCAGATGGCACTTTCTCAACAAGGCCCTTCCTGATCACCCTTCACATAACAGTGACACATACATACACACCTGCATCCCCTTTCCCAGCTTTATTTGTCTCCATGGTACCCATCTCTGTCTGACATAATATAGATATGCATTTACTAATTTATTTATTATTCATCTCCTCCATGAAAGTAAAAGCTCTATGAGTACCTGGCACCTAACAGGCAGTTGATTAATAGTACAAATAATGCCTAAATGTTGGAACATACATTATGAGCCAGGCACTATTCTAAATGCTTCACAGATGTTGATTCATTTAATCCTTGAAAAAGAAAACATGAAGGGGATACCATTATTACAAATAAGCACTTGATGAATGAATGGCTGACATGTAACTACTTACGGCTCTGGGGTATAGAGAGGGTCTGAACTGTGTCTCACATACTGAGTGCAGTGAAAAACTCGAAAGGCTAAACCTGATAGGAAATCTCTTGGTGATAAGTAGCCAGCCACAGGACGGATGGAAAACCCTGTGCGCTCTGTAAGGCAGAGAGGAAAACAGAAAATCTTCATTACATGTGCAGACTTTGATGGAGTACATGGAAACTAAAATTTATCATATGTGTTAAGGGGAACCAATTATTATTAAGCACTTATTGCAGCCAGGCAATGAGTTAGACCTTTTGCGTATCACATCTCCTTCTGTGTACGCAACATGAGCTAAAGATTTTCTCCTTATTGTGATAGCTCAGACAATAATATGTTTAGGACACAAAGGAAACAGTAAAGGTAGGCTAAGGGCCCAGTCTCCTTGTATTACACCTTCTGGTCTTCGCAGGCTTCCTTTCTTTTTGCAAACACTTAGTAAAAAGACTTATTATTTTAGATCGGAACCATTTTTTAATCAATGTCACTGAGCTAAATTCCTAGCCTGCTAGTACTATCTTTTGCAGTTTCTTTGTTTTGTCTACCTACACTGGCTAGTGTTCTGTCATTCCCCAACTAGCAAGACTGTACATACTGTGAAACACATCTGCCACTAGATGTCAGTGTCCTGGAGACCTCTGTAATTTCCAGACTTGTCCTGCATTTCAAACTCTCACAACCCTGGTACTCCAGCTCCACCCTGGTGCCTCATCGCTGGATGGTCCCATTCTGAGAAGCAAGGCACTGTCCAAGAACTTCCCACAATGACAGAAATGTTCTGTTCTGTGCTCTCCAGCAAGGCAGCCACTACCATATGTAGTTACTATCCAAATAAATTGGGGCTAGTGTAACTGAGGAACTTTGTTTGTTTTTGGTACCAGGGATTGAACTCAAGACCGTGCGCTTGTGAAGCAGGCACAGTGCCACTAAGCTAAATCCCCAGCCCTAACTTAAATTCATTTTAATTATTTAGAATTTAAACAACTACATATGCCTAGTGGCTACCATATTTGACAGTATAAGCATTGTATCTTCTTCGACCTGGTGTTTTCTTTGAGTTGTCTTTTTTATTTTTGGTACTGGGGATCAAATTCAGGACCTTGTGCTTGCCAGGCAGGTGCAGTACCACTGAGCTAAATCCCTGCCCCTTTGAGTTGTCTTTTAATATTGGTATTTGTCTTTGACGCTTGCCCTTGAATCACCTTCAGCAAAGACATCCTGCAGCCAGCACAGGTTCCAGATCCCAAGATAACAGCTTCAGTTTTGTATCCATAACAAAGTATTTCCTCCAAATTTCATGCAAATTTGATTTTATCAAAACTCCTATAGCACGTAGTTGTCCAACTTTGTAAGCCCATTAAGGTTAAGTGCATTGTACTATGTTTTAAAAGCCTAGTTTTTGTAGCAACCACTTACAAGATTTCTTCTCATGTAGAAAAAAAATTGCCCTTTCCTATTCAGTTATCTTTAGTTTTGTATGTAGTTTTTAGTATATGTGCTGCCGAAGCAAGCACATTGTGTGTACTTTTTGAATAATAAAAGTTAAGGTGTTGAATGGCTATATAGATTATTTTGTTAATAATGTACATAAAAACTCAAAATTTCAACTATGATGAAAAGAAACAAGAAAGAAAGAAAGACAGAAAGAAAGAAAGAAAGAAAGACAGACAGAAAGAAAGGCCCTTTGAGTCAAAAACATAACTTCTTTTTTACTAAGGTCTCTAATCTGCTGAGGTAACAGCGGATATTTGTTTTTTCTTAAGTACTATTGATCCTGGAGATCACTGATCATTTTACTTTCTATGCTAGCTAGAAAAAACAAAGAGGCCTGGACCAAATGAGTATGAGGAATTGGAAGAATAAATTTTCTCTTCCCCTTTGTTTATGTTTTTATTTGCACATCTTTCTTGTGAAAATGATAGAATCTTAATGCAGAGAGGAACTTCAGAAATCATCTAGGCCACCCTTCCCTAAGATGCCTGGATTCCCGGTACCATATCTTGACACGCAGGTGTGGCGCTTTTATAGGACACCTCCATGGATAGGCAGATGACTATCTCAGGAGCCTCTCAGATTTTCAAATGGCTCATTTAATGAGATACTCTCCACTCTGTGTGGAAGCTTACAGTTTCTACCCAACAGTCCCTTACTTTTAGGGCCACATACTATTACTCTATTACATTAAATGGCTTTCAAATATTCAAATATTTAATAAATGTCTCCTAAATCTCCAACTTAAACACCTTTCAAATTTTACCATTGATAAGTTTACAAAACTCACTTATAATTCTGCTCACTTTGCTCTCCCCTTGCCCCAGGTTACGACTGGGTCTCTTCAAGCATGGTGCCAAATTCTGATTGCAACACTACAGGACATGCTGCAGAAAAATTCTGAACTCCTACCCAACTAGACTTTGCTCCTCTTTTAAAAATGCAGTCATGATCAAAACACAGTTGAACATTCCCCTTACAAAAATCAATTTGCTTGATACCTTTTAAAAAGTTTGAGACATCCTCCAGTTGTGGAATATTATCTTCCTGATAGCCACAATATTTAGAAAGCAAAGGTAAGTTTTTGAGGTACTCTCGGCAGGCATGGGTTGGGTAGAGTTTGTAGAGCTCTCGGAAAACAGTTCCCCAGGTATTAATCTCTTCTTTGGTGAATTCAACCTTGGGAATGGGGTCTCCGCTAGTGAGAGAAAGGGAGGGAATTATTCTGAATTAGCAATCAGTACACAGTAGCATGTATTTTATTTTCTACTTACAAATTAAACACAATTTGCTCTATTGATTTATTTAATGATCCCAAAGTTGGATATTTTATCATAGATAATATACTTACTGTTTATAATTCATAGCCAACTCTGAAAAATACTTTCGTCTTTTACGGTACACATTGTCTTTGAAGCCCTGATAATCAAAAATAAGTTTTTAAATACTCACACTAAAAATACTTGAAAGATGATATTTAGGAAACATTTCATTATTGTTACTGGAGATATTATAAGACTAGTAAGTATTACTATGAGCAAGTATTGTTTAAAGACTTACATTTCTTTTTTTCTTTTTCTTTTTTTTGGTACCGGGGATCAAACTCGGGTCCTTGCGCTTGCAAGGCAAGCAGCAGAACCACTGAGCTACATCCTCGGCACCTGTTTCTTTTTATTTTGAAGACAATGTTACATAACAGCTTTATACTCTATTGAGTACAAAAATAAATATATACAAAGATACTATAGTGACTACAAAGATAGATAGTTTGAAGAATAGCAAAAACATCACCCCAGTTAAATGGCCTTTTTCCAAGGAGGAGTTTTTGTATTTTTTGTTTTTTTTTTCTCTTTAAGCATTCAACCACATCTTCAGTTATACACACCTGCCGTAGTAATTAATTATAAAATAGTAGGGCTGGGGTTATAGCTCAGTGGAAGAGTCCTTGCCTAGCATGTTTGAGGTCCTGGGTTTGATCTGCAGCCCCACAAAAAATAACAATACTAAAATGGTAATTGATAACATTTAAAATAATGACAACTGAATCTAGCCTTAATTTTGCCACAAAATGGAAACAAACTCATCATTTGCAGAACCAAACAGCGAGAGTAATACACAAAAGATAAAACAGTTGTTAGAATTGATATTTATGAAAAATATCTAAGAAAAAAAGTAGACAAAATAAGAAACCAAAAGTCTAAGTCCAGAAACAGAAAGCCAATAGTACAAAATAACAGGAAAGAAGAATCCTGAAAAGAGAGAATGGGATTCATCTCTGCACATTTTATGGCTTCCTACTATGCACCTGGCCCTGTGCTAAAAATCTGGAGAAATAAAAGTGAACAAAGCCTAATTTGGGGCTTCAAGGAATTTACATGAGCCAATTATTCTACATGAATGTAAGCACCTTATCGGACTGCACAAATGTGCACAGAATGCCATGAGAACTCAAGGGAGACACTCATATTGCAGAGTGTGTAACAGGACAGTGTGGCTCAGGAAGGCTTCCCAGTGTGACTCCCGAGCTAAGCTACAGAAGGGGAGTGGAGGTAGTTGGACAGAAGAGGACAAAAATGACAGCATCAACAACTGCACAGAGATGAGAAACAGCATGTGGTGCCAAGAAGATACAAGAACTTCAACATTCATGGAGCTCAGAGGGTGAGTGGAGTAAGCCAAAGACTAGTTAGGAACCTGGAGATTACAGATCTGCTATAGATCTTGGATTTTAGCCTTGGGTATGGGATTATGTTTGTGGATTTTTTTAAGTAACAATATTATTGCGATACAATTCACACACCATAAAATGACCATTCACTGCTTCTAAAAGACTTAAAACATCATATTACAGTGATATGTCCATACCTATGTGATAGCAGCCCAGTTCATAATAGCTAAATCTTGGAAGCAGCCTATATGTCCAGCAACAGAAATGAATAAATGCTATATTTACACACAATGGAATACTACTCTGCCATAAAGAAAGATAAACTGGAGTCATTTATAGGAAAATGGATGCACCTTGAAACCATGAAGTAAGTGAAATAAATCAGACACACAAGCTTAAATATCATATGGTTTCTCTTATATGAGAAACTCGGTAAAAATAAAAAGCAAAATAAAAGAGAGATAGTAGGAAGTAGGGAGATAGATCTTTCTCAGAGGGGAAGGAGATCAAGAAATAGAGGGAAGGGGAGAGAGGAGAGGGATAGAGAACGAACAAAATGAATTGGGATGAATTCTGTACATGTATCAACTCCACACAAGGAACGTAAACATTACGTACTACAAACATATATAAAAAAAATGGAAGCCGATGAAGAGACGGTTTGAAGTGAGAAGGAGGGAAATGAAAGGGGATGAAAAAAGGAATTAAGACGTCATGTGCATGTACCAATTTCCCACAAGGAATGTAAACATTATGTACCACACACATTTCCTAATAGACTAAAATAAAAAAGAATAAAAATAAATACATGTTTTTAATTTTAAAACATTCAGTGGACTTCAGTATATTCATAGAAATTAACCACCAACTCCTGAAATACCTCTTAGCATAAATAGCAATGCCAGGCTTAGAGGGGGCAGGTGTTTTGGAGCCAATGACATTACATGGTTTTCAAGCAGTTAGTCTCAATTCAGGAGTCTCAATTTAATGTGGAGGCCTAACATTTTCTGAACTCTGGATTAAGACAAGATGCTATTTGGTCTAGAAAAAATTACTTTCTAAAAAAATTGCCTTAAATTTTTAGTTTGCTTTAAATTTTTTTAATGAAATCATTTATTAAAAAAATATATTTACAGGATGATTGGCATCAAGGTCAGATCCATACATCAGAACTCTGGTAGCACAAAAGTCCAAGTCAGAGATCTTCTTTGGAAACCAAGGAACAGTTTCCATACCTGCAAAACACAAAAACCCACTAAAAGTTGAAAAGATATTAAATAAGGCACTAACAGAGGAGAAATTAATACATTCACATGAGATTTTTAACTTGTATACAGAAGCAACATTTATACAAGTTAAGTAACCTACTCTATTTCTAGGAAGTAAACTTTATTGAAGATTTTTTAGCTTTAAAAACATTTTTGAGTCTTCAGATTGATTTCCCAAGGGCTGGGATTTAGCTCAGTGGTGCCACGCCTGCCTGGCAAGCACAAGGTCCTGAGTTCAAATCCCGGTACCCGGAAAAAAAAGATTGCTTTCCCAAGTGTTGGAGAAATACTGTACTTGAGTACAGACCAAAAGCTTTAAAAATGCTTAGAGCCACATATTTAGCTATCCTACAAAAGCAAAATAAGGATATAAAACTTTACAGACCAAGGTGCAGGCCAAATAAGAACTCTGAATATTTATTTTTGTTGTTGAAAAATCTCAGAAATTCATTAATGACTTTGCCACCTTCATCTCTGCATTCCTCTTATATTCATGAGACTCTGGAATTTTACATATGTTCTTCAACCTGGAAGACTTGTCACACTCCCACTCACCCCACCCCATCTTTCTGTCTTCCTGAGAACATCTTTGTCATCCTCGAATTCCCAAATCTAGTAAGACCTTCTCATTCTACAACGTCTTCCCTGACCCTGTAGGAAAAGATAATTTTCTCTGGATTTTTGTGACACTGTGTAACTCTAAATGTTTCTGCTATGCTTTATTCTATCTATCTTTCTCAAATGACTGGGAGTGACTTAGGGTAGAGACTGTATATTTTTGTATTTAGCTCATCGTAGAAATATCTGACACATGTTGGAGTACCCTAAATGTCAACTGAACCAGCTAGCCATCAACAAAACTCTGCATTTTATAGACGCAAACTCCAGAAGGGTAAGGTAATTTTACCCAAGTTAACTCATTTGCAGTGGACTAAAGAGGACTACGACTCAATTCTTACAGCCAGTGCATTGCTCTACTTTATCCAGGAGTGCTATTCAAGAGATCTAACAACAAATACAAGAGGGGAGCTGATCACTCAAAATATACACCAGCAGAGTCTGTGACACCTGCTCTGCCAGGTATTGGCCCTTTCTTTGTTAATAGTAGGCATGGGGTTCTAGGTGAGAATCTGGAGTGATAGAGGCTTCTGGCATGATGGGAAGGAACTCAGGGAACTAGCTCCCTGGCAGCCAAAGTGGAGATATATCGCCATTTTAATAATTAATAATACCCCAATGCCCAGGGCCTCAGAGGTGGGGGCATGTGGCGTCCAGTGAGGAGGAGGCCGCATGGTGTGCAGCTCCTATATATTATCTGGCGTCCAAAAAATAGCAGTTGTGCGGTGCCTGGTGATAGACATTAAGGCCCAGGGGTACCAGGTATCCTATGGTACCTACAATGATGTTTCCTTCAAGCACCTGAACCCTCATCCGTACCAACAATATTTTTGCTACCAGGCTGAGAGTCCCTTCTGTGTGTTTACCTTCACATGGTGGTGACCCTCATGGGCTGGGATTGTTTGTTATGGGTTCTCAGGGCTCATGAAATTAAAAGGTATCATCAACATTACAAATACACAACAGGTGAATATTAGCCCTGATTATACTTTAAATTTTGTGACGTAATCTGAAGAAATTATTGTAGATTGACTACCATATATAAAATGTGGCTAAATTACCCATTTGTCTTTCTGTCTCAAGTAAACTATAAGGATTGTTGTCACTAATGGAGATCTTCAACTCTATCTTTGCTATCTGAGTATCTGCAGCCTTAGAAGGCTTTGCCGCTTCCCTTGCTTTTGCTGTGAATAATGTATTTCACCTCACGGTTGTCAGACACTGCCAACATTCTCAATAAAATTCAAATATTCATTCAATAGATGCTAAGCCCTGAGAGAGTTACTAAGTGCCCAGAGAGTGTGAATTGCAGGGTTGTGGAATCAAGAAATGCTTGATCTGGGCCGGGGATTTAGCTCAGTGGTTTCACCGCCTGCTGTGCAAGCGCAAGGACCCGAGTTCGATCCCCGGTACCAAAAAAAAAGAAATGCTTGATCATTCGATAATTCAGAGGTAAGTGATTTGTAACCATTTGATTCTTCCTTATACTCAAGGGTTCCTTTTCACTTTTCTCACCGTTAATTGAATTTTGCCTTATATTTTTTCTTTAGTATTTTGAGCAATTATATTTTGTGTCTCCTTCACTACCGGACTATAAAAAATCTGAAAAGACAGTGTTTTATTTTTATCTTCATGTCTTCAAGATGAATGTAAGAGTGGACGTACATTAGGTACTTAATCTTCTAGGTAGCATTTTCACTGCTCAAACTTACCATCTTCCTTCACCGTAAAATTATCTGGTGAGTTCACAGAGAGAACATTAGTATGAGACTTCAGCAGATGGAAAATATCATTCAGTTGTTCTCTACCGATATCACAGTCAACAAAAATCTCAAATTCTGAATTTCTTCTCTTCGATTTTCGGGACTCGATATGTAACAGGTTCACATGCTTCTCCTGTGTACAGAGAGAGGGTAGCGATGACATGTAACTGCCTCAGTGTAAACAGTCTTTGAGAAAATTATTTTCATTACCATCAAAAGCCAATTTCACCCATATAATAATAACCAAAAGGGAAAAAAGAATTTTTTAGAGTGGCCAACACTAAAATAATTCCCCCTCAAATATTATGTACTATGAAACAAAACCCTGCAAAATCCATCATACCCTCCTCCAAAAGCCAGTAATGTAATGTAACACCTACTAGAGGTTCTTCAGATAATGAGAACTAACTGGAATTCAAATTAAAACACCAGGTCTCCTGAATAAAAAGAATTTTTGGAAAATGCTCACAAATAAAATCAGTTTTCAGAAAGTGATATTAATGTTACTCCTTGTGAAATAAAGTTTCATCTGCTGAAATGCATTCAATAAAATTAGATGAAGAGCTTGAATACACAGTACTTAATACCCACACACTTAGTAGTCAGCTGAACCAGACTGCTTCTTCCAATCCCTTTCCACGTCAGCCTGAGCTGTGGCTACCAAATGTGCAGACCTGGGGGAAGAGAATATCCTCTTCTACCAATGTGGGTACTGTCATGGTTACTTTTCTCATTGCTAAGACAAAATACCCAACACCCAAAGTTAAAGGAGGAAAGGTTTATTTGGCTCACAGTTTGTGGAGGTTTCAGTGCATAGTCAGCTGGCTCCGAGGCAGGGAGGCATGGCAGAGGGGCACTGCAGAGGAACAGTCCATGGCAAAGCAAGCCAAGCAAAAGGCAGCAGGCAGTGAAGAAGCAAGCGATGGCAGCAGCCCTCTTTCTGTCCCTTATAACCCACCCAGGCCACCTGCCCTGAGGGAGAGGCACCCTCAATCCCAGCATCATACACTTAATCCCAGGATCACACATCCTAGATCCAGCCAGCTCCAAAAAACCCACCTATGATTGCATGAGGCTTTGGGGGAATATCTAGGCACAGGCTATAACAGGTACTGAGGAAAAGCACTGGGAGCATAATAATGAAACATGAGAACCAATCACCCAACAGTCCTTCATCTGAAAAATGAGAGTGTTAGAGCAGATGATCTCCAACACGAACCAGTTCATTCTAGAATGACTCAGTGAACAACTGTGTAGTTAGGTAAGTGCTGTAAAGAATAAAAAGGAGAGTATGACAGACAAGGGATTTATAGTCTAGTTGGCCAACATGTGAAAGACAATGAGAAAATACAGATGCAGGAGTGTTCAGCAAAGAGAAAAAAATCATCAATTAAAGAGAATAGAAGGTTTTATGGAGAAGCTCGCAATTGAAATAAATCTTAAAGGATGAATGGAATAGGAAGAAGGAAAGAAGGAGGGATTCCAAATGGAAGAAACTGTACAAGCAAAGGGAGGGATGAGCCAAGATGAGTACTAGGAGATGTTAGGACATTGGACTAGGCAGAGTTTATCCGGGTGCACAGAATTTATCATAAAATCAATAGAAGAAAGCCAATTACAAAATAGACTGGAATTGATCAGGAGTTAAAAAGGAGCTTCATTTCATCTATTTCTTACAGTTTTTTAATAATACATTCATAAATATTTTCTAAATGATGATGAGTGTATATATAAAGCTAAGGTTATGTTTTTGGAAAAATATGAAAAAAATTGTATCAATTCTTCCTAAATTAATACATAAGTTGAACACTACATACATAAGTTGAATCTCAATGGATTTTGGTGAGGAAATGTAATTAAATAATTTCTAAGTTGATCTGAATGAGAAAGATAGTCAAGAAAATTCAGATAAAGTAGGAATAATAAGTTACACAAGGTCCTGAGTTTAACCTCCTGTACCACAAATAAATAAATAAAAATAAGTGAGACATTCCCCATAAATTATTTTGTTTGGTTTTGTTTTTCTTTTTTCTTTTTGGTACTGGGGATCAAACTTGAGACCTTGTGCTTGCGAGGCAGGCAGCAGAACCACTGAGCTAAATCCCTGGCCCTCCCTATATATTAACTTAATTATAGAAACAGAAGCAAGGAGAGGTTAAGCAGTTAGCCCAAAGGCACACAGCTAATAGCTGTCAAAACTGGAATTCAAGCCTAGGCTATCTAGCTCCAAGGTCCGGGCCTTCAAACATTATGCTGCAGGGCTGGTTATTTAGCACAGTGGTGTTGCCACCTACGTCACAAGCCCAAGGTCCCAAGTTCAATTCTCAGTACCAAAAAAAAAAAAAAAACCATTATGCTGCAATCCTGTTGTATGAGAAAGGAGGCACCCTAATGGTGGATAATGTAGGTCTTCTTTAAACAATATTTACATAATCTTAATAATGAAGACACTAAATGTTGACACAGACAGAAATAGGGCATAAATACATTAAGAAAATTTCTCAAATGCATTGAGAAATGTCCAGATGTAAGAAGGAAGCTGTGTAAAGAAACAGACTTTACTTCCACTGTAGGAAATCAGTAAGTAGTACCTACAATTGGAAAAAAACCAAACAAACAAGAAATAGGAGCAAAATAAGTGCAGGCAAAATATTAGCAAAGTAGTTTAAAAAGCTTAAAATGATTGCTTCCTTTAGGCTGAAGATGTAAAGTGGGAGGGATGCTCCCCTAGAAGATCAGGCAGCAGTCAGAAGAATTAACGGGGTGCGCCTACACCAGCACGGGCAAGTCTGCAAAACACAGAGCTGAGTAGGAAAAATGTTTACAGCACCATAATATTTATACAAATTACTAATATTATATGCACACATAAATATTTCATATTCTAGAGTACACATAAAATAAGACAATGTACATATCAAGCATATTACAGCAGGTGTCCATCAGAAGAGAGAAACTGAGATTGGAACAATAAAATGAGACAGGAAGAGGCTGCATGTATCAGTCCACATGTAAAAAATATCGATGCACACGTGACTTAATGCGTATGATTAACTCAATCCTCTGCACCTAAGGTTATCCAAAAAATTAAATGAATCTTAGGAATGAAGACAGATGCAACAGAAGTTTGCTGTTTTCGTTTCTTTGGGGGAGGGGTGGTGCCGGGGATCAAACTCGGGACCTTGCACTTGCGTGGCAGGTGGCGGAACCACTAAGCTAAATCCCCGGCCCTCAGGGTTGCTGTTTTCTTGATAAATTGTATAGTATGGGTCGGCTTTGTAAACCGTGCACGAGTATTCTTTGAATAACAATAAAATAAAATGAAAGTTGATGGGAGAAGGAAATAGGTAATTATTTAAGAACCCAAAGGTAATCAACAGAATAAAAATGATATAATTATCAACTTGGAGCGAAGAGGAACGGGAAGGAAAGAAAGACTATTAATATCACTGTTTATAATAGAGAAAAACATATGTAAAATTCATAACTCAAAGAGATATGGGAGCAATATTTATATTATATAATATACCACCAATAAGCTAAAAAAAGAAATAGTTTTTTAAAAGTTGCCTCTAGAAAATGGAGCTGAGGATATGGTAAGAAATTTGGTATTTTTCATTACAAGCTCTCCTAGAGTATTTGCCTAGACATAAGGATTTTTTTTTAATTCTTTGTATTATTATTTTCAAATAGCTATATAGTAGTATGTCAGATAGAAACTTGATTTTTTAAAATACTTCACTTTTATTGATCATTTACTTTGGACTATCACAAGCATCTTAAATATATTAACTCTACTAGTTCTCATGATGACCTTGTGAGGTAGGTAGGGTTTCTCTCATTTTGTAGGGAAATGCCAAGAGATTAATTAATTCACCTATGACCACCCAGCTAATATGTGACAGAAAGGATGTGAACTCAGCTGGTCTGCCGGCAGACCAATACCTTGTACTTTTGAGTCACTTTACACATATGTACTTCTTAAATACTCTCTTTATTTATCTAATCTTATCTTCCCCACTAGAATATTCACTCTGTGAGGGTAGGCACTGTGTACTTTGTTTGGCTCCATATCCTTAGTATCTAGCACAGCACCTGGCACAGAGTGAGCACTCCGTAAATGTTCATGCTCTGTCTGACCAACCTATATTTTCTTTCTTTCTTTCTTCCTTCTTACTTTCTTTCTTTTTTTGAGTAGTTAGTTGTTTCTCCCAGTGATTATCCTCCCTCATATTTTCTTAGGACGGACCATGGAAGTGGAATTACTGGGTCAGAAAATATGAGCATTTGAGATTCATAAATACATATTACCAGATAGTTCCCCTACATTATACAGTACCAATTTATCTTCCATTTATCTTTAAGGAGACTGAGGATGTATTTGAAGACAAAATATATTGAAACACTAATAGCAGAAGAGTATAATTATAAAATATCATTTAATATTTTAATGTCATCAAATAATATCAAATAGACCATTACTATGTAGGATTAGGTATATCATTAAATTTTAATGCTTTACTTAATTAAAATATAATTAAAATTTTCTTCTCTGAAATCAGTGAAGTGAATCTCTTCCCTCCATTTGGTTATTAGCTGTTACTACTCTTCCAGGAATTGTCTAAATCTCTTGACCATTTGTTAGAATTCAGCAGTATTTTAGAAACATAAGTTCTTAAGAAATTTCTGTAACCTGTCTGAAGAATTTACTATCATTTATATTTTACACATACATTTTTGAGACTCATTCCTAGACCAGTTATGCAGATATGTGAAGACGGCTTACCTGGAAGATTTTCAGTGCCTGTAGAAGTCCTCCAACTTCATTCTTCAAGGAAAAAATGAGAGTTGCTCTCCCTCTTTCCAAGGAATAGTCTTTGTTCTCCTTATTGTCTTCGATCATGATGAATCTGGAGCGATCCTCTAAAACTAAAGTATGAAAATACAGACAAAAGGCTAACAGGAAGTTGGACAGCACCAACAGGATGCCTTACTTGAGGCACACTGAACTCTCCAAGCTTCCATTTCCTCACCTACAAAGCCTGAGTATGCAGATATGTTTCTGGTTTTGGGGCACTAGACACTGAGTCCAGGGTCTTCACACTGAGCTACATCCCTGTCCCTTTTTGTTTCTGTTTGAGACAGGATCTCACTAAATTGCCCAGGCAGCAGGGCTCACACTTAACAATACAAGTTAGAGGTTTTCTATTCATTTTTCTAATCCAGTCATTCTTTTAGGCCATCACTCAGCCCCACTAGCTTCTTGCCATCTTCCTGATAGCCTGACATTGAGTGCTCTTCCTCTAGGAAGTCCAACTCCCCTCCTATCACAATTTTTTAAATTTTATTTTCTATTGGTACACACTTGCAGTACATAATAATTACATTCCACATGAGGAGTTGATCCATGTATACGTCACATCTTAATTCTTTTCTCCCCCCTTTTTCCTCCCTTCTCTCATCACAGTTTTAGCACTTCTTTGTCCTGGGTTTTGAATGGGTTCCCCAAATGTTTTCCTCCTATGTATCTTGCCTACTAACAAGGCAGCAAGCTCCTTCAGAACAGGGGCAAGGCCTTGTATTTCTTTTGCAAACTCAACTGCAGGACCAGCTCTAGATACATGTGAGCTACAAAGCTAACTCCTGATCAGAATTCTAGTTATCACTATGTTTCCTTTCCTTTCTGTCCACAGAATCCCTTCATTCATAACCCCTGAAGCCTTTTCAATATTGGCCTACAAGTGCTACATGGTTATAAAATCAGATGTGTGTTGGGAAGGAGAATAGGGGAGAGGATATTGTAGGGGTAAAAAGTAGGGTACAATAACTTTACATTGGTGACTTTCTATTAAGAGAGACAATTTGAAAAATAAAATTTGGATAAATGGAAGCAGCACCTTAAGGATTCAGTTTTATTAGTTTTCATTTAGTTATTAATCCTTCATAATGGTTGTGCCAGTTAATGTTAATTGTCAGTTTGACTGGATTAAGAAACTCATGGAGAGGTGATTGGATCATGTAGGGCACTATACTCATCAGAAGTTTAATCCACTGTGGCTGAATGTGCTGTCGGAAGTGGGGCCCATTTGGAGAAGGTGGGTCAGTGCAGGCAGGCCTTTGGAGAATAGATTTCTCTCCTTGGCATTCTCCCCTGTGCTCTGCTTTCCAGCTGCCATGATGGGAGCAGCTTTGCTTCACCACATGCTTCCACCATGGTGTTTCTGCCTGGATCCTGCAACCATGGACTGAAACCTGCGAAACTGTGAACCAAAATAAATGCCTCCTGCTTTAAGATGTGAATGTCTGGTATTTTGCCCCAACAATGGAAAACTGAACAATACAAATGCCTAATTATATGTTGTAGTTTTAGTGGATTAACTTGTAACAATTTAAAATGATATAACTGACTCCACTGCCCTTCACCTGTTCTCATTAACTGATCCAAACCTGTGGCTCATCACTCAGAGCAGACGGGTATGACAGTGTGGAAGCCGGTCCTGACCTGTCCAGGTCAACTCCCCTCAGTGTCGGTTATCACAGAAGCAAATGTTTGCCAGTCATAACAACAGTCACAGGTGTGGCTGTAACTCTGTTTTGACGGGGATTGGATTTTGTCTGTCTTTCCAAGTAGACTGTGTCACATGGAGGCAGGGATCACATTGTTTTTACTCAGCATCTGTATCCCACACCTAGTACTGTCCCAGCACATAACAGCCAATGGATAGATGTCACTGAATGAATGAAATATTGATTAAAGACGCCACCCTTGAACTGAACGTCTGGTATGGAGAGAATGACAACACAGAAGAATAAGAACTGTCACAGCTCAGATGGTGCAGGATCACAGCAACTAGATTAATTATCCTGGTATCTGTACAGAGAGGCCTCCTTGAAGACAGGTTTCAGTAAGGCCTTAAAGAAAGAAAAAAAGAGGGAGAGGAGGAGCAGACATGGAGGTGAAAAACAAAAGAGAAGGTGACCAAGCATCACAGAACAGTAAGAGACCACGTAGGCAAGGTAAGTGGGGTCAGATACTTTAGAAGGCTGCATATGGGCAACACGGGAATTTAGGCTTAATCTTCTATGTCCGTCACAGCCGGTGTGACCTAAAGCTAATGAAAAAAATAAGGACAAAGGGGTTTTCCAGTAAGCCAAAGTTCTGGCTTTCAAATGCGTTTCTATGGACTGATACAAGAAGGCGGATGTTATGGCTTGTATCTAGACGCCCCACTCCAAGCCCATGTGGTCATAGGTGGGAAGTTTCGAAGGTGGCTGGATTAGGGTGTGTGAATGTGGATTAAGGGTATGATCCTACTGGGATTAAGGATGTGGATATTGGGAATCCCACCCTGGGTATGGGTGGCACCAATCAATAAGCTTACCGCCTGGATGGAATATAAAGGGAGAGAGGGAAGGGAGGCTTTCTGCTTTAGCTGCTTGCTTGCTCCTGCCTTCTGCCTGCCACAGAATGAACAGTTTCTCCTCTGTGATGCCCCTCTGCCATGCCATCCTGTCTTGGAGCCAGCGGATTATGGACTGAAACCTCTACAAACTGTGAGCTAAATAAACCCTTCCTCCAGGGTGGGTGTCCAGCATTTTGTCTCAGCAGCAACAACAAATAAAGTAACTAAAACAGATTTTGGTACCAGAGAAATGGGGTCATTGCCGAGACTGTACCTATCGTGAAGTTCAGGAGCCTCTGGAACTGGCTTGTGGGAAGTTTAGAAAGGTTTGGAGAAGCCAACTGGCTGGCTGAAGAAGCAGCCCTAAAATAATGTAAACTGAACTTGATGGGAGACTCTGGTCAGAGCCTAGAAGACCAGAATACCGATAGAAATACATCTGGTAAAGACCAGGCTCAGGAGATTTTAGTTGGGAACGGACTGCATTGATTGTTGGACTCCAGACCGTGTGCATTATGCTTTGGCAAAGTGTTTGTCTACATTTGCTCATGCCAGAAACTTTGCCTGAGGCTGAGATTAAGTGTGGCAGACTAATTCATCTGGTTGAAGAAATTTCAAGGCAATCTAATGTGGAAGCAGTGGCATGGCTATTTCGGGGGGGGGGGCGTTTAGCCAGATTTATGTTGAGAATCAAAAACAAAGGGCTCATGCCAGGTGTGGTGGTCCACACCTATAATCCCAGTGCTTGGGAGGCTGGGGCCGAAGGATTGCTGGGAATTTGAGGTCAGCCTGGGCTACATAGTGAGTTTAAGGTCAGCTGGACTACACAGCAAGACTCTGCCCTCCCCCAAGAAAAAAGGCCCAGCAGAATGCTTTAGCAAGTTTTGAGTTTGGCCAGAAAGGAAGCTCCAGTGAAGTCATAGCCTGCAAAGATGGAGAAGGGGAGAACTTGGTTGGTGAAAAGGAATAGGACAATAGAAAAGTTGCTATGAGGACATCACAGAAACCAGTAGGACACTAGTCCTTTGAGCCTCAAAATTGCAAAGGTAAAAGACTTTGCTTTGAGAAGAAATCCCCAGAGCATCATGTTCTGGAATGGCAGCGACCTAGGGAATTTGTTCCTAGGGATTGAGTTTGGAGTGCTCAGAGATTCAGGGAGTCAGCCCCTACAGCCAAGAGGGAAGGAAGCCTGGCTACTGCTCCAGTTGGCAGCAGACCTTGCATCATCCATGTAGTGCTGGTTTTAGGCACATGCAAGAGTTGTGGGGTCAGGAAGGCTTCCGCTCAGATTTCAGAATAAGGCCTGGGAGGCCAGGCAGTGTGCCCGAGAGGGCAGTGTGTGAAGCTGTAGGTGTGAAGCTGAAGGTTCAGTGGAGACCCCAGAAGGTTGGAGAAGCCAGAAACGCGGATTGTCTGAGGAAAGCTGCAAGATGGGAGCAGAGCTGGCCCAAGAGAGAAGCTGTTAGAACTACAACCACCGGCAGTGCCGTAGGGGTGAAGCCACCCAAAGCCCTTTGAAGTTCACATCTTGCCACAGATTGCCTTGGATGCTGCACATGGAACTACACGACTTAATGTTTGCTCTGCTGGATTTTGGACTTGCTTTGGTCCCTATTTGTACCTTTTGGAATAGGAATGTTTATCTTGTACCACTGTAAGTTGGAGAAGTTTAACTTTCTTTTCATTTGTACAGGGGCTGACAGATAAAGAGTTTGCCTTAAATCTCAAAAGAGACTTTGGAATTGGACTTTTCTGCATCACTGAAACTGTTAGGACTTTGGCAACTCTTAGAAATGGACTAAATGCCTTTTGCATAAAGGGATGCGCATGAGTCTTTTTGGAGGCCAGGGGTGGAATGTTATGGCTTGCATCTAGATGTGCCCCAAAAGCCTCATGTGATCACATAGGTTCAGTATTTTGTCTCAGCAACGGAAAAATAACTAAGACAGGAGGCTTTATGCAATCTTGTTTTTCTTGTTTCTTTCATCCATCAGGCCTCCTCTTTAAACCATACTGCATCAGGCTTGGGAGCCCCTTACAAGACAGAAGGCAGCCCCAACGAGACTCACTAGACTTGGAAGAATAAAGTATGAAATAGGATTCAATTGCTTTCAACCATATGGTCATAAACAATAGTCTGATACTAAACATGCCAGTGGGATACAATTTTCTGTTTTAGAATTTAGCCCTTCTGACACTTTTGGAATTTAGTTTAACAAATATTTGTCAGGTAGGTACTAAGTTGAAGGACTTCTACATGTAAATTCGGAGAGTATGGAGATAAGAATAAAAGTAATTTGTTACCTTACTGATGGCTAGATTCCAACCACTCTTAGCAAAAGGAAGTGAATAAGGGAACTGGCATTTGTCAAATATCTACAGATATCATCCACTAGTACTATACCATTTAATTATCACAAAAATCTTCAGAAAGTGGATATCCATTACAGCCACATTATATCACAGAAAAAACTGGAGCTCTGGAGTCCAGATCTCTCAGATGTACCTGGGATCTACTTTGGCATCTTTTGACCATCTACACTGCAAAATTGTGTAAGGAAATATGTGGCATGTGAAATCACATATACGTTGTCATTGGTCTGATGTTCATCAATCAGTGTATTACCTTGGGCATGCTATTTAGCCCTTCTAATATAGCTAATTTATCGAACCTAGAACTCAACAACATCCAAAATTCTCTTATATATCCTAAGATGCTACTGATTTGGTATTTTGATGTTTTCTCCAAGAAGAAATTAGGCTATTTCAGATATCAAGTAGAGTTTAAAACATACAATTAAAAATGTAATGCATATTGACTTGTTTTAATTCCCAAAACTGTCTATTTTTCACTGTGCCCATTTATTCTCTACAGAACTAAGTCTCAATTTGGAATGCTTTAAAAATTAAACCATGCCAGGTATGATGGTACATGCCTATAATCTCAGCACTTGGGAGGCCGAGGCAGGAGGATTGCCATGAGTTTGAGGCCAGTCTGGGCTACATAGTGAGTTCAAGGTCAGCCTGAACTGCATAGCAAGAACCTGTCTTAAAAAAAACAAAAAAGGTCCGGGGATTTAGCTCAGTGGTTCCGCCACTTGCCTCGCAAGCACAAGGACCAGAGTTCGATCCCCGGTACCAAAAAAAACAAAAAACAAAAAAACAACTAAATTGCCAGTTAAACTTAACAATAATGTGGATTTTCCTGTGGTCCAAATAATTACTAATGGTAAAATGAATGAATCTTAACCTAAGCACATCCACAAGAGCACCACCATCATTACTGTTAGGGCAGGAAAGATTAAAAAATAAGAAGACAATTTGCCTCTGAGGACTTTACAGACTTATGTATGGGTAAGGAGAGGGGAGGCAGCTCCCCCAGTAAGTATGAATGAACAGAAGAAAGGGACCCTGAGATCGCAGGGTGGCAGACATATTAATTATTTATTATACCCAAGCCATTTACATTACTTTGATTTATCTAGAGATATGATGACTTATTGTACTAAGATTTTGAAACATTCTTATTCTTTTTTTTTTTTTGGCAGTACTGGGGATTGAACTCAGGACCTTGCACTTGCAAGGCAGGCACGGTGCCACTGAGCTAAATCTCCGGCCCCAAAACATTCTTATTGTTAAGAAAAGTTCTCTCTCAAAATGAATGTTTGCTAAGTAGCTAGAAGAAAGCCCTCACTCCCTCTCCTATTCCTTCTGCCCCACCCCAACCAAAAAAAAAAAAAAAAAAGCTTACAGAGGAGAGGGCCTTGATCTTTCCTACAATTTGGCCATAACTTTGCCTACTGACAGAGCTTATGAGCCATCAGTTCATTTTTCCTTCATGCAATTACCTCCTAGCTCTCTTCAGAACCTCAATATTTTCCATTTTCTTTCCTCCCTTCAACCTTCTACACTCTCCTACTCTTCCAACGGAAAACTTTACAACACTATCCTGGTAAATAAAAGGCCACAAAATGACTAATGGGTCACATTAATTTGAATCTATGTCTCGTCAGAAAGTATATATTTTCTTTTTTTGTTCAAACCCTTGTGTCAAGGGCTGACTTTCAATAGATCGCAGCGAGGGAGCTGCTCTGCTACATATGAAACCCCGATATATTTTCTCTTTAAAGCAACACCCTGATCAGCCAATGCCAACTGGTCCTGTCCCTTTTCTCATCCTCCCGCTCGGCTTCCTTCCCCAAGTTGCATCAGGGTGCAGGACACGCCTTTGGAAATAAGAAAGGCAGACTGAGGAAGGTGTCAGGTCGCCAGCTGATGAAGGCAAGGCTTTTCTTCCCTTAGTTTAATCAGTAACAAAGGAAATTTAAATTTATCTCATATAGGGAAAAAAGAGCACACTCAACGTCTTCTAAAAGCATAGATTTTGTTTGAAGACCAAACTAAAAGCTGCAAGAAGGACTGGTTCATGGGGAATCCCCCAATGTATCTTGATTTTCTTTTCTAAATGGGGCTGGGTGGGAATGAGGCTGAAAGTGGAGATGAAATACAAAAGTAACCACTGCCCGGGAAGAAAACATTATCTTAGAAAACAAAGGAGCTGGGAAAGCAAAGGGAAGTGGAAAATACATCCCTTCCTAAAGGTACTCTAATACGATAATAATAATAATAATAATACACCTACAAATGGACTCGGTGATAAAATACTTAAACCTCAGACTGTAACTTCACTGAAACATTTATAGCGGGAATTTTACCCTCCTTTGACCACTGACACAGACTTTTACTGGGTTAGAAAGTTCAGTTCCAGTCTTCTTCTCCCCAAGGTAACCAGAGTAGAACATCCATGAGCAGTTAATTTCCAATTTCTGAGCATCAAACAGTTGTATTTAATCCGAGTTAAACTTACATGGACTATTTACTATATCTGAACTTCAAGAACCTACGCTTCGTTGTCAATGGCAACCTCGTACCAAGCACTTAGTCTTCTGTTGGGAAGGATGGCGGTAGCGAGGGTAGGTGTGACACTGAGGGGCTTGGCGTCTGAGGCTTCCTTTTTTTTTTTGGAGGAATCTGACAGTTCACTGTATGAGAGAAGAAGGAAAACAGATGCTGCCCTTTGATGGAAAGGAAAAGAAGACAGACGTTGCCTGCTGATGCGACGTGCAATCAGTCACACAGATTTGGGTTTCTCTGAGCCCCAGTTTCCTCGTCTATAAAATGCAAGAGATTATCTACCTCGCAGGGTTTGTTGAGAAGGTGAAGTAAGATAACCAGTGTGTGTGTCGGGGGGAAGATAACCAGTGAAGACCCCGTTTCTGACACACAGATACAGTGTCTTTTCTCTCCAAAGCCCCCCAGGGGTGCAACTGTGACCCAGCAGGCCCAGCTCCCGGGTGCTATCAACCTCCCCAGAAGGTCTCTGTCCCCCGCCTCGGGCCACCCAAGCTCCCCTAAATCCTCGACGGCGTCCCCAGGTTCCCGCGGGTGAGACGCACCCCACTCACCTCCGGCGCCACCGTCTGGGAGCAGGGTCAGCCCGAGGACCAGCACGCGCGCCCCTTATAGAAGAAGCGGGTGTCGGGGCAGCCAATGGGCACCCGGGTCGGCCGGCAGTGGCCACTGAGAAGCGAGCGGAGGCGGGTGGGAGGACGGGGCTACCAGGGAGCCGGAGCCCGCGACCTCCTGGGCGCGCAGACGGCGCCCGCGGGTCCGCACCCTGCGCTCACGCCTCGGTCGTCAGGAGTCTTTACTGGCGTTTTAATTAAGGTAATGTCAGGCCGTCCTTTTCCGCAGAAGTCTGACTAATGTTAAACAATGATTTAGAATTTTCCTCCAAGCCAAGATTAATCTGTTACTGGCAGAAGGACGACCTCCTGTGGGCTTGGGCTTGGGCTTGGGCCGCCCCTCCCGGGGATGGGGACCACAGCGGGACTCCCCACCCTTCCTCCCCTCTCCCATCAGCATCCCCGCGCTCCAGGGCTGATCTCTCTTGGTGCTGTTCCTAATCTTTTAGGCGGCGCAATCTCTGAACTTTTTGGAAGGAAACTGCTCAGTACCCTTGTAATTGATGACCGTGCTATACTAACAGTCACGTTACATGCTGTATGAACATGACCCAGAAGCCAAATATTTGGAACAGGTTATGTATTGGTTCCGTGCTGTTTAGATCCTATTCCAAAGGACTCCGCAATCGTCCCTGTATCCTGGGAGGACTGGTTCCAGGATCACAATGGGTACCAAATGCAGGGATGTCCAAGTCCCTTATACAGCACTGCCTCTAAACGATCCACCCACCCGCATGCTTTAAATCATCTTTAGATTGCTCAGAATACCTAATACAATCTAAGGGCTATGTAAATAGTTGTTATACTGTATTGAGTAGAGAATAATGGCAGAAAAAAATTTATTCATATTCAGTACAGAGGTAATTTCCCTCAAAATATTTACAATTTAGGGGTGATTGAAATCAACAGATGCTTACATAACCCGTGGGTATGGAGAGCCAAATGCATATATAACATATAATACCTAGGTCAGTCTTTTCTCCAGTTTCTGAAAAATTAATTTATTGATGTATCGTTTACACACCGTAATGTTCATTTCTCCCAGTTGTACAATTCGGAGTTTTGACAAACATGTACACAACCAGTCAAAATATAGAAATTTCCATCACCCCCCACTCACATTTTCCTGTCTCAGCCCCTCCACCCCCACTGCACCACATCCAGTCCCCGGCAACTGATAGTTTTGGCTCTATGCTTTGGCCCTTTCTGCGAGGAGAACAGTGACTCTGCATATCTGCAGGTTTGGGGTTCCTGACACTTAACATGCTGCTGTGGGGCTTCAAGCTGCACATAACACCATCAATCGGTCCTATGGCTAAGGGTGGACACTCTTGAAAGTGCAGGGCATTTACAGCTTTCACCTCTCTTCCAGGTTTTCTTTTATCTATATAATGAGTCTAAGAAGTAAATACTACTTTTGTTCTGTAAATAAGGAAACCGAGGCCCAGGGAGACTCTATGATGCTCTCTGGCACAAGTTAGTAAGTAGAATCAAAAGCCATCCAAAGCCTTCACTTTAAATCCAGTGTTCTTATTGCAATACCATGAAAAACACTGGTCAGAGAGACCTTTCAGACCCACACTGAGTTCAAAGATGACATTCCTGAAGTTGGGTCTACAAGAGGGTTTGAAACACCCCTGTCAAAGAAGACAGATGAAGCCAGTTATTTGGGTAGATCATCCCCACAGAGGCTGCAACGGCAGGGTGGGCATTGGCTCTGGGGTGGAGAGGCTTGGGCAGCTGTCACTGATGCCCATGTAAGGTCACCTTGAATGGGGCTGAGCAAAGCGGAATGTTAGGCCCCGTGACCCTGAGCACTCCAGGCTTCTGGCCTTTCCCAGTCTTTTGGCAGACTTCTAAAATGACACTGACCACTTCCAAAACATCTTGGCCTTGTGCCTGGATTCCACCTAAGAATTTTCTTTAGACTCAATGGGTCAATTTAAAAATTCACATATCCTAAGAAAGTCCTATCAGCTGAAGAAATCTTTGTATAGATTTGTCTAATTAAAAGCGGTTAATTGGCTCCTCATAGGGGGAAAAAAAGGATTTCTTTGGAAGTTCTGGAAGAATGAGGTAAAGCAAGACACTTAGGTAGTCCCTTAGGGATTGCATTTGTCTCTTATTGCTGCTATTAAAATTTAACACAGATTTAGTGGTTCAAAGGAACACATATTTATTTTCTTACAGTTCTGGAGATTAAAAGTCCAAAAAGGACTTTAGTTTTTCATTTAATGTCAATTCCTTCCCAGAAGTAAGATTGTCTCTCACTCCCAAGCTAAATTAGTTTCTCCATTTTCACACCCTGCCCTTCTTCCCATAGAACACTTGTAACAATGGCTATTATAGTTATTTGCATGACTTTTGTTCACTTATATCCTCCTTGCGTGAGAAATCTTCATTGGCTAGTCTAATGCCTGACAGATAGGCTTACAGTAGTTTCTTATTTTTTCCCAATTCCCACCCCTCTCCCTCCCCACTTTTATTCATTACTATTTCTTGTTTCCTTTGGATTTTTGTTTGAGAGGGGTCTCCCTATGTTGTCTATGATGGCCTTGAACTCCTGGGCTCAAGTGATTCTACTGCCTCAGCCTCAGTAGCTGAGGCTACTACAGCTACTTAGATTTCCTTTTTCTAGTTTCTGAAGGTGGAAACCTAAGTCACTGGCTTGAGACCCACGTTTGTAGGTGAAGTGCCCCTCTGTTGCTCCCCTCAAGCACTGACGTAACTGCATCCCACAGTTTTGATATGTCACAGTCTCATTTCCACTCAATTCAATATGTTTTCTAATTTTGGGGGGGGGGGTGGTGCTGGGATCAAAATAAGGACTCAAAGGGCCAGGGATTTAGCTCAGTGGTTTCACCACCTGCTGCACAAATGTAAGGACCCAAGTTCGATCCCCGGTACCAAAAATAAGTAAATAAATAAATAAACAAAATAAGGACTCATGCATGCTAAGGATATACTGTAACACTGAGCTACAATCCCAGTTTGCCAATTCCTCTTTGATCTGTGGATTACTTAGAAGTGCACTGTAGTTTCCAACTATGTGGGGATTCTCTAGATGTTTTTATTTATTTCCAACTCAATTGCATTTTGTAAGAAAACTTTTTTGGTGTTACTGGGAATTGAACTCAAGGCCATTGTACTTAGCTGCAGTCCTAGCCCTTTTTTATTTTGAGACAGGGTCTTCCTTAGTCAATAAATTGCCCAGCTTGGGCTCAAATTTGAGATGAATTCTCCTGCCTCAGCCTCTCAAGAGAGCTGAGATTTAAAAAAAAAAAAAAAGCTGAGATTATAGGCATGTACCATCACACCCAGCCTGAGGCAGGAGAATCACTTGAGTCCAAGAGTTTGAGGCCAGCCTGGGCAAAAAGTGAGATCCCATCTCAAAATAAAAATAAATATTTGTTGAATTGATGACGTAAATGGTAGAAGCTGTGTTCAAACATGTGTGTACATGTGTTCATTCTAGCATTTCAGTAGAACTGATTCCAGAAGTGAAATACTGCCAGGTTGCCTTCCTAAAAGAATATCCCAGCTGATATTCCAACTTGAAAGAATATAAACAGTATCCTCATCTTTATTACAGTGAATGCTATTAATCTCCTTAACTTTTGGTAATTTGACTAGCAAAAGTTTTTAATTTTTAATTAGCTTTTAAATTAGCAGAACCGAGCATATTTTTAGACATGTGTTCCCATGTGAGTTTCTTGTCATTGCTCATTTTTCAATCAGATTTTGTTTTTTGGTGGGTTTTTTGTTTTGTTTTGTTTTTTGTTTTTTGTTTTTTGTTTTGGTACCGGGGATCAAACTGGGATCCTTGCGCTTGCGCAGCAGGCGGCGAAACCACTGAGCTAAGTCCCTGGCCCTGTTTTTTGGTTTTTTTGGTACCGGGGATTGAACTCAGGACCTTGTGCTTGTGAGCCAGGTGGCGGCACCACTGAGCTAAATCCCCGGCCCCAATCAGGTTATTTTTTTATTGATACATAAATGTTCTCTAGATAGCTCTGTGTCATCAAAGACTTCCGTTTGTTTTTGGCTTCATTTAAGATACCTTGTAGCTTACAATTTTTGTTTGTTTTTACAGTCAAAGCAACCTTTTTTGCTATAGTTTAAGGGGCCTCCCAAAGCACACCCTTCCTTCCCAGTTCTAAGCTGGGCAGATGGGGACCAACTGGGGCAACAGGTTGGGGAGGGAGGGCAAGGAGCAGCAAAGTCTGGGAGATCAGTTGAAAGGCTGTTGAATAAGATGGTAGATGGGGGAGGGGTAGAGAGGAGATGAAGAGAATGGAGGACAAATTCTAGATGTGTTTTGCAGATAGAGTCCATAGGGTCAGCTGACGGCAGAGGCAGAGAGGGGTAAGGAACAGGAGACCAAGCAGGATACTCAGGCCTTTTATTTGGCTATTGGGTGGGCTGTGGTTCCCCTGACCAACATGAGGACTGGGAGGGAGAAATGTGAGTTGGCAAGGAGGAGAAAATTATTTTTTGTACTTCTTGGTTTGAGTTGTCCTAGCTATCCAAATGAAGATGTCGTGTAACATTGAAGGGAGTCCTCGTAGGGCATGGTGGCACACAGCTGTAATCCGAGCCCTTAGGAGGCTGAGGCAAAAAGACTAAATCCGAGGGCAGTCTGGGCTACATAGCAAGTTCAAAACCAGCCTGGACAGACTACATAGCAAGACACTATCTCAAGAAAAAAAGGAAGAAAAAAAGAAATGCGAGTTCAAAATTCAGAAAGAGATCATAGCCAGAGATATTCATTTAGAAGTTATGGACATAATGATCATTTATAAAGATACTATATAAAAATCCTATATAAAAATCATAAGACTGGATAAAATTTCCTAGGGACAAAATGTATTGAGAGACAAAAAGAAGCTCATGTCAAGATCCACAAGTTAAGAGAAGGAGGAAGAGAAGCCAGAAAAGGAAAAATGAAGGAGTGGACACCAAGGAGGAAGAAATCTCAGGTGAATCTGGTGTCACAGAAGCCAAAACAAGAATGTTGGGTTTTTTGGTTCTTTTTTTGGGTTTTTTGGTACCAGGGATTGAACTTGGGACTTTGTGCTTTTGAGGCAGGCGCTGGAACCACTGAGCTAAATCCCCAGCCCCAAGAATGTTTTTGAAGAAGACAACTATCACTGGGCCCAATGGTGCATGCCTATAATCTCAGCTACTTGAGAGGCTGAGGGAGAAGGATTTCACAGCTTGGGCAATTTAGTGGGACCCTGTCTCAAAACAAAAAAAATTAAAAATGGGCTGGGGATGTATCTTGGAGCAAAAGCTCTGGGTTAAGTCCCTAGTACCACCAAAAAAACCAAACAGACAAACAAAACAAAACTATGGAGCCCGGAGCAGTGACATGTGCCTATAACCCCAGTTACTTGGGAGGCTAAGGCAGTAGGATTGCTTGAGGCCAGGAGTTTGAGGCCAGCTAGGGCAACATAGTGAGACCCTGTCTTTAAAAAATGTGAGTATTATATATTATATTATGTGATATATATATATATGTGTGTGTGGTTTCTGCTTTACTGAACAAGAATCAGAGAATGAGCCAATATGATTCCCCTCTGGGGAACTTGCTGAGATGTTCTATGTAGCTCATAGTACCATCTACTTTTATGGATGTCCTATTAAATTAGAAAAGAATGTGAATTTTCCATTCATGGATCGGTAGGTACTAAGATAGAGCA